TCATTTTATCTTTATTTTATCATCATTTCCTCATCAAATCCTCATTTTATCTTCATGTTATCCTCATTTTATCCTTATCCTCATTTTATCCTCATTTTATCCTCGTTTCCTCATCAAACCTTCATTTTATCTGCATTCTATCTTCATTTCCTCATCAAATCCTCATTAAATCCTCATTTTATAGATTGTATATGTACAAATATGCAGTAAATATCATGTCAGTGCCAGAAATTATAGAACGGAGCCAGGAGGACAAAAGTACGGTAAAATACCGTACCTTTGTCCTCCTCCCCGTTCTATAATTAAATTTCCCGACTCCGCTCCGAATCGGAACCCGGAGGAGGACAAAGGTACGGTATTTTACCGTACTTTTGTCCTCCTGGCTCCGTTCTATAATTCTGGCACTGACTGTATATATACCGTATATATACATAATTACTCATGATGTGTTTGGGGCCACTGCAGCTTGCATATGCCAAGTGAATACTTCCCTGAGCCTCGGAAAATACATATCTTGGGCGACAATTTGGTGCAAAACCTTCCTCAAATCCATGAATATAATAGTTAATAACGATAATGACTAACTATAATAATTATTAGTTATTAACAATCATAGCTTATATGCTAATAATATATAATAATCCATTCATCAAGGGGTCACCCACTGCTGAACTTGACCAACATCTTCGTCCGCTCAGTTGCGAATCTGGGAAACCAAATTCACCACAGCGAATCTGGGAAACCCAACAAGCCAAGATTGTCCCACTCACAGGGAAGGGTAAGGTAAGTTGGTTTATATAAGCTAAGTATGATCTATGGTATGTCTATACTTATAGACTTATATATATATGGGATATTATGAGATTATAAATCTATATATATATATATAAATAACATATTTTTCTGTAAACCCATGTTAAAATAAGCCCTGGTTTTTTTCGCATGCGACTGCCGGGTCACCACAGGCACACCTTGCACTGGTTGGACTGGTTGCACCACCTGCAGTCGGAAGGCAGCCATTGGATGGTGTTTTTCTGTTTTCTTTACCATTTCAGTGGGATGATTTTAGAGAAAATCTACATGAAAGGTATGTTCCCTATAGGAAGCTTGGGCGAAATTTGACCGAAATTTGAACAAGGGACAGGAATCCCACTTAGATTCATGTGCTTCTCTCGTTCAAATAAATAACTGATCCATGAAGATCCAATATATTTAACTCAAATATCCATGAACCAATAGATTCATATCTAAATAACCAATAACAACATATACATCAAATGAATCCTAAAAAACAGTGATATCTGGACACATCTGCAGGGTGATTTCCCTGGTTGGAAAATAACCAAAAAAAACGGTGAGCCGTCGCTCTGAGGTCGCTGATGACATAATGATTGTCCAGAAAACATCTTGGTTTTTGCTGGGGATATGATGGTTATCTTCTGGGGTTTGCCCTGATTGTGCCTGGGCATATGATGAGACTATTCTTTCCCAAAGGGTGTAACTTTATGGGATATATGATATATTGCAATATGAATGGGATATCATGGCACAAGAGTTCCCACAAAATTGTCATATACCTGCACCCTTAAGGACCTTGAACCTGGAAGCCACCTGTGTTTGTGTGGTTAACCATCCATGATTAGTGATCTGCGTAAAGAAACAGGGCAAAACTATGCCAGCTGGTACCCCAGCGACATGTTCGTTGGTTTAGTTTCACCACACGTTTTTTTGGTTGATAAACCTACAAGAAACCATGGTGAAGTTACCCCCACAGCTATGGAAAATGCTGTTTAGGTAATTTCCGAACGGGAATTCATCGGCCTCCATGCCTTGCTCAGGGCACATGTTACCACCAAGCGTTTGAGCCTTGGGAAGGTGAATTGTTTTCCCGCCTAGGCCTAGTCAAGCCATCCATACACGAAATCGATCCAACTGCCTCGTCTTTCAACTTCAGCCTGGGAAAACAGGCCATGACCACATTCAGGTGGTCCTTTTTCTCTTTGTCGACCTCTGGGCCTCTGGGCCAATGAGTCAAGTGCTTGTGCGCGAGCTTCTGATTGCGGCTTGCGCATACGGCGCGCGTTGCATTTTTGCTCTGTCAAAGCCAGAATTCTTCAGAGGGTACTGCTGCTATTTCCAGCAACTTAGCTAAGGATTGGGGGCATCACTCCGTGGAGCTGTTCAGGAAATGGTCACAAGTTGGGCACTCAACAAGCTTCCATCCTATCTGGGTAAATCCCTCTTATAATGTTAACCAGACCCCCTAAATGGTCCAAAATATGTGAAACTTTCCCTAAATGGTCCATGGTTTCTGGGGGTGTTGAATATTTGCGCAAAGGGATTAACATGGACGGGTTTGCTGCACCCAATTCTCGTGTTTTCCCCTTTTCCGAGTGGCCATTTCAGGAGCCTAAATCTAAGATACCATACATGTCCATATATATATATACAATGTGAGGCCCCCAAGATAGCTAAGTTGGTTTATAACCACAATAATTATGGTTTATGGTATTGATAACTATAGTTACTGGGGCTTATAAATAAACCAATTTATAACTGGGGGGCCTCACATTGTATATATATCCAACCATATATGTCCATAAATAAGGTCTATATGTAAGGGGATATGCTCCCAAAATAGTCTGAGTGCCGGCGCCTGTGGCATCGCCATTTCAGCGCTCATCACAGTTGGAGGCAGGGTGGCATCGGGCAAATGGCCATAACCTGCGGCATCACCAGGTTGACTCCACAGTTATGGCCATGGCTATTAATGATATTTAGTGATCACTGGTTATTTCATGTTATTTCTATGGGATGAGATACATTAACATGAAATACTATAGTTTAACATGAAACCATAGAAACATTAACATTAACGTAGAACTTCTATAAATGGGGTTTTGTTTTTTTAGTAGCATTTCGGGCCAGAAATTCGGTTGATGGACCTTGGTTTTTGGATCAGTGTGCAGCCGCTTGAGCAGGGTTCAAATGTAGAATCATCGTGGAGTAGATAGAAATTTTCAGATGAACATCTACGAAAGTTCAAGAACAAAAGGATTAACGCACCACAATTTGAGGGATTTTGGCGAGGAAAGGCACCAATTTCATGGTTAAATTGAGGGTTAAGATAGTTTCACACATCCTTTGTGGTTGCTGGTCGCCTTTTAACCAAGTTTGCCCCAAAGATGCCCCAAACAACTTTACAGCCACCGTGGCACACCGTGGCGTTACGACATCTGAACTTCTTGGGTCAAATCTCAATGTGTCGATCATTGCGCATCAAATCACATTCCAATTATAGAACTGTAACTGTTACCCTCTGGTAAACTCACCAAAAAAAACATGGACAATCACCATGTTTAATGGGTAAATCAACTATAAACGGCCATTTTCAAAGCTATGTAACAAAAAAACAAGAGGGTACTATAACTATACCCACCATCTTTGACCTCTGCCATGGTCTCCTTACGCCCTCATTCGATCCCACCTTGACCCAGCTTTGACCAGAGCTCACGTCCTTAGCGAGCGAATTTCATCGCAAGGGAATCCTGAGATTCCAGACTTCCAGACACAAAAACAACTAGTCATTGAGACGTGACGCTAACCCAAGAAAATTAACCCACATCGAAACTTGTCTGTATAGCTTGTGTTTTGATTTAAAAAAATATCACTAAAACAGTGAAAAAATGTTATGCTTTTATGTTCAACATTGAACGCTTTAAACCTTGGTGAAAGGTTCGAAGTGGGACCATCTACGGATTGGTGTATATATATATATATGTGTGTGTGTGTTCACATCTTTTAGCACTCCAGCGCAAATATACACCACAAGGCCTAGGTATTGGAGTTATAAATCAACTTACCTTTCTTGGGGGCCCCAAACTGTGGGGTGTGGTTTTGATTGCTTCCAATACCGTCCAAATATCATAAGTCATCAGGTAAATTGGGCATAGTTTATGGCAAATATGTACATTTCTTGCACACCAATGGGATCCAATTGGTATATCACACGTATTACAAACAGCAAGAAAGTACGTGGAGGTTTTACTGCCAACATATTTATATATATATAATTATATATATAGTTCCACCACAACGCAAACATTGCTAATCTTTGATGCCTTTGCGAAACAGCTTGTGTTCCGGCGTATGAAGAAATCGGAGGCTTTCCCGGGTAGCCGGAAAGCCAATTCTGCTTTGATTGCATTCCACAAAAATGATTTTTTTGGGGATTTCTCATGGAAAAGTCAGCATTTTTGAGTTTGCTAAATCCTCAAACTCAACGGGCCAAATCTTCTGGGGATGACCCCCCAAAGCGCCTCCCCAAGCGCGCCGCGCCCTAAAAGAGAGGCCCAGTGACCCCACCAAAAGCCGAGGCATCCGAAGAGGATCACAGGAACCAACTGCAAACACTTCACTGCCTGTCTCTGGTGAGGCCGGGAAGCCAGTTTCTATAAGGGGAGGTTGAAGGTTGAAGGAGGGAATTGCAAAACACAAAAAGATACCTTTGGGGCGTTAAGTTAGGCTAGCGAATAAGGTAAAATGACCTAAATGTCCACACCAAAAGTGGCTAGCGTGTTGGTCTCACAACTGGGGAAGGTTGAGTTGTACAAATACTTAATAATTGGCCAGCAACACGTAATGATTTAATGGTGAATTTAAACGGTTGATTTTAATGGTGACTTACCAAAATGGGCTATACCGGCTATACCCAAGATCCAGGGAAATCAGGATCCATTCAGAAAAATAAGGAGTTACACAGTTACCCGTTGGTAATCCACCCTGGATGGAGAATCTCCAAGTTCAGTGCTTTCATTCCACTTTCTTTGGATCTATTCCCAGTATATCAAATATATCATTGCTTTCAGCAATTTCTCAGTTTGAACTTCTTCTTGCTCAAAAAGAACACATTCTTTCAAATTCTTTCCCGGCCAATCTTAGACCCGAAAAAAAACACCATGGTTGGTTGGCTAGCATAATCTACTCCTATATATACTGCAATAAGTTTTTTTTTGCACCGGAAAATGCCCATCTTGGTTTCCCGAAAAAATCCCGCCCAGCTACCATCAGCATCACCAACTTCGGGACCAAGTTTGGCACCAAAATGCCGGTCTCACCGGGTGAATCAGGGGAAAACCCAGCGTTCCCACCGTTCCCACCGTTCCCGTTGCTTCAAAAAGGTCCCCGAGATCTATGGATAATCCCTAGTGCTATCTAGTGCTATGGGCCAACTTACCTGTTCATAGATACATGACAATACTAATAAGATCCTAAGGAGCTATGGAATTCGCTGGGTCGAGGTCCCATTCGTGGAGATGGGATTGGCTCCAGGTCTCCGGGGGTCTTCGCTCTGGAGTCCCGACTGAATTGTCGGAGGCAGCCGCTTCACAATTGGACGCTTCGATTCCATATAGCAACCCCTGAATGGCCCCTGAAAAGGCAAAAAAAATTACTTTACTTCGTGTGATCCCCACCATGACATTTATACATTTTCTTACTGGCAAATCTTCTGGCATTCTATCTGACATATCTTCTGACATTCTATTTGGCATTCTATCTGGCATATCTTCTGGCATATGATCTGGCATATCTTCTGGCATATCTTCTGGCATTCTATCTGGCAAATCTTCTGCCATTCTATCTGGCATATCTTCTGGCACTCTATCTGACATATCTTCTGGCATTCTATCTGGCATATCTTCTGGCATATATTCTGACATATCTTCTGGCATTCTATCTGGCATTCTATCTGGCATATCTTCTGGCATCTTCTGGCATTCTATCTGGCATATCTTCTGGCATTCTATCTGGCATATCTTCTGGCATATGTTCTGGCATCTTCTGGCATCTTTTGGCATTCTACCTGGCATTCTATCTGGCATATCTTCTGGCATTTTATCTGGCATATCTTCTGGCATTCTATCTGGCAAATCTTCTGGCATTCTATCTGGCATATCTTCTGGCATTCTATCTGACATATCTTCTGGCATTCTATCTGGCATTCTATCTGGCATATCTTCTGGCATATATTCTGACATATCTTTTGGCATTCTATCTGGCATTCTATCTGGCATTCTATTTGGCATTCTATCTGGCATATCTTCTGGCATATCTTCTGACATTCTTTCTGACATTCTTTCTAACTTTCTTCTGCACATTCTTTGTCCCATATCTTCCTACATGAGGTCCGGCAGGGAACACTTGGCATGGATACCCGCGGTTGAGGTCCGGCAGGGAACACTTGGCGTGGATACTCGCAGATGAGGTCCGGCAGGGAACACTGGGCGTGGGTGGTCGTGGTTGAGGTCCGGCAGAGAACACTGTGGATCGCGGGTCGCAGTTGAGCAAGGACGACGAGGACGACGAGGACGACGAGGACGACGAGGACGACAAGGACGACAAGGATGACAAGGAGGACGAGGAGGACGAGGAGGAGAGGAGGAGGAGAGGAGGACGAGGCAGGAGGAGGAGGCAACTGACATAAAATCTAACAACCCTCACCTGGCAGGTGGGGAAAAAGTGAACTACAGAACTAGTGAGAAATTACTGATGAATTACTTTTCTATACTTGGTTGGACTACATTTACAACATTTACAAAGTGTAGTAGTAGCCAGGGATCAACATTTACAAAGTGCTTAAAGGCTACCCCAGAAGCTGCACCTTTAACACCCACGTCATCCAGTTCAACCTGGGAGATTTACTGTTGGATTGCCAGATCTGAAATTACCAGCTATGGTGATTCTAGGTAAATTATGATACCATCTGGTTCTGACTAACAGTTTGCCATGGAAAGATCCACCCATTTTTAAGAACGGTAAACCATCTATTTCTATGGGCCATCTATACCATGGCTATGTTAGTCATAACCAGAGGGTAAATTATAATGATTCCCAACTCAGACAGAAGCCATTTGGGATGATTCCCTCTACCAACCATTGCTTTTATGGTACCGGTGACCCATGGACCTTTTTGTGGGCCGCAATCATTCCTTGTAAGGACCTGCCAAAACCCGAATGTATTTCATTCAGCTGCTTGCCCTCCGGTAATTTCTTGCGGTTGCCATTGATGTACCTTTGAAAGTTGGACGTTCCCAATGGAAACTGTTAGTTAAGCGAAGGCCAATCTATCTCCCCAGAATCGCCTGATTTGTTGATCCGAGAAATCTCCAATTTTCATAGGGCCCTCCCGGAAAAGAGACATATTTTCCAGGATAGCAAAGATGATATTTAACTCATAATTCACCGGTTTCCAACTGCTCTATCTATTTGAGTGGGTTGCTTTTTTTAGCCATCCATTTTCACAGCCCATTTCTTGGTGAAACTCGCCTTATCCGAAGAGAATTACCTCAGAATTACATGTTTTCTCAGGTTTCGAACTGTTCGTTCCCTCTTTTGGGCTTGTTACAAGCTGGTGCCCGCAAACAATAAAGCTAAGTCGGTTGAACTAACTCCAATTTTGTTTTATGATGCTCTTTAAACTATCTTGTACTCATGGGGTGAAACGAAACCACATGAAACCACCATAACTGGAGGGCCCCACATTGCTGGCCCCAGCCTGGTGAAGGAGCTTGATGCCCTTGTAATCCTGAGGATCTTCGGCCAATGTACCAACTGGAAACTGCGGGGAAAGACCTTGCGATTTCAAGCAACTTGGTGTTTAAGGGAAGAATACGGAAGCTACGTTTTTGGCGAGTTCAACTCATTAAAACATAACAAACTTTAAACAAATAATAAGAGGTTGCCAGAACATGTTTGGGATTCAAAGTGAGCTGAGCAATCACACTGGGAGTGTGCACTTCTGAGCATTTTTTAGTGTCCTCATGCAGAAACTCAAGATATCTCAAGATACCTTCTGGGAATCTAACATGGCTATGGGGAATCAGTTTTTTTTCGAGCTATAAATCATCTGAAACAGCAAACAGGGCAATTCACCGGAGCAAAGCGAAAATACCGGAGGGTAAATGATTTCCAACATGTTTCTGTTTGAATTGAAACATCAATGTCCGCCGACCCCTGCCTTAGCCAAGGCAGGGGCGGCGCCTGGGACCACCGCAGGTGTGGAACTTTTTTTCGTTCCCAATGCTTTGCACTTTCCACGAGCCACCCAGGCCCTCTGTTCACCGCCCAGGAGCCACTCAGGCCGCAGCAATTTCTGTGCACTTCCCACGAGCCACTCATGCCACAGCAATCTCTGTTTCTACTGCGTTCCAAAACGCAACAGGCCGCGGCAGACCCTGTGCAGTTCCAACAAGTCCCTGAGGCCGTGGCAGTAAAGAGGTTCAAGGCTGCCGTTTGCCAGCCTTCAAAACTCGCCAAAACTACCCAAACCCTCCCCTGCAGCTCCCAGGTTGATTGTTGCACACAGATCGATGGTCGATTCGCCCTGTCTTCACGTTGCTGTTCACAAGTCCATTGCAAAATGGGCACTGGTAAACAAAACTTTTCTTTGCGACAACGCCGTCCCGTACCGAAAATTTGTACCCACAGACACCCCGATGGTTGATTTTCCCTGTCTTCACATTGCTGTTCACAAGGCCCTCGCAAAATGGACATGTGTAAACAACAGATTTCTCTGCCACAACACCGTCTTGCACTTGGAATTGGTTCCCGCATGTCCGGCGATGATCTACTTGCCCTGTGTGTATGCTGCTGATCACTGACTGATGGCAAGCAGGACAGACATATTGGAAACTCTGTCCTCTCTGCGTTGCGTGTCGTGTATTTGCCGGCAAGGTCTTCTCCTTGCTGGCCTTGTTGCCTTCCTGCCTTTTACCTGCTTTCAAGGCTTTATGCTTTTCTTCGGCCTTCCCTGTTTCGTCTTTCTTCTTTGATGATTGATGGTGATTTACCCTCTGGTACTGCCTGACCCACCCCCTTTAAAGGGGTCGGCGGCACCAGGGCGTTAGCCCATTTTATATAGTTTTATCAGCCCAGCTTGACATTAGAGGTGGGTAAGTAAACCGTGACAGTGTCATGATATGGCCATGACATGGAGGTAACTTTCCGCGGTTTCAGACACACCCACATACATATAGTTGTTTGTTTGTTATTGTTGATAACAATATATGAGCGACTGTGAAAACCCTAGGTTCACGGAAAAGACATCCACAAATTTGGGAAGGTCCCATCGCTTACCACACGTTTGTACAATAATGATATATGGTAAACTTGGGGGGTATCGCTTGCAGGAAGCTGCTGCATTTATATATATATATATATGTGATGAACCATGAATAATATGTGATATTTGGGTATCGCTAATGTGGATATTAGAGAAATATGATGACATCACCTTGAAAAGGGTATCGCTAATTTGGGAAGGTCCCATCGCTTACCTCGTGTTTTTAACAATTTCCATCAATTTCCATAAACCAATGTCCGTCGAATACATATTTAGTATTGCCGGGGTTTTTACGGTTGCTCATATGACTTAGATACTTGGTAGATGTACAATAACAACATCCAACAACTACCTCCGTAGTATCAACATAAAATCAACCTCCTCGCCCTCCCATCGTCCAAGCGTCAGGTTCGCATGTGGCCAGTGGATCATCGGGCATGGGAGCCTCCTCCAACGTCGGATTGAAGGGAACATCTACGTCAGAAAGCCTACAAGGGTGCTTTAAAAAAAAGGACGATAGAAGATGATTTCAGCAAGAAAATCAAGATTTATAGTTGGTTTATGAAGCGCTTTTTTGCACACCATCACATCCATTAAAATCACCAGAAAATCACCATCCACCAGACTCAAACTGCCGACTCCTTCATGATGTCTCCCATGTCTGCCATGTCATCATCATCCATGTCGTCCATACGGGGCAGGTCCCATTTCCTGGGATGTCAACATCAGAAAATCACTTTATGTACCTACATTATGTTTGTATGTAAGTATATATATTATAAATATTATATATATATACAGATGTGTGTATATATTATATATATATATATAAAAGAGTGTGTGCATACAGGTATACATATGTGGGGGGAACCTCAGGTTTCTCATTTGGCCGACCCGAGCAGAAACGATTCATCAACAGAGCTGTCCTGGACCTATACCCATGACATTACACATATTTCAGGATATGCAGGTAAATAATGGTAAATGCATGTAAATGCATGTAAATACATACTTACATACAATACAGAAAAAAACACAAATATACACATAAAGATTGCCAACACATGTTAGTTGATGCCCCATATTGTAGCTGCTCTTGCCCTCAAGTTTCTGCTTCACTCCCCCTATTCACGGGTATTTCACCAGCCCAAATCCTTGGATGTGATTAAGTGGCTCAAAAAAATACCGAGATTCTCTTAATCGATTCCCCAAGCATTGGATTTGCCATTGGAAAAATGGGAAAATGCAAAAAATCATCGACTCAGCACATCCAAAGAGCTCTAATCCCATTACCGCCCCATTTCTATTCCCGATGGTTGCCAGTGCATACCCGTGTGATATCCCGTGATTGTTGGTTCCACCAAAGTTATCACCTCAAATCCACCTTTTTGTTCCATGGTGAACAGTCCAATTTTTAGATCTCCAGTATCAGAAAATCATCAAAACAATCCAGTATCATTTAATCATGGTTAAATCCTTTGATTATCCCATGTTATCATCCCCAGTCGGTGTCCGACGTGTCCCAAAAGAGACAACCGCGCGTTGAAACCCAACCGTCGCCAGGCAGGCGTCTTTTTCCACTCGCGAGGGTGCGACATCCTGAGCGAGGGCGCCATAGTTTATCTGTCAATTTTTTCCGGCTATGAAAGTCTGAAAGTCCTGAATCATCCTTAGTACTGAATCTGGTCATTTAATACTTAATAGTACTTAATAGCGACTTAATTTATATATGAAACTATTGTATGAAACTATTACACTATCATTGACACCATTGTTTTTTGGATTGCAACTGTTTTAGTATGACTGGATGTAATTCTACAAGCTGGGGCCCAGCTTGACGTTAGCTAACTTGGTTAAAATGACGTGAATTTTGGTACACATAACTATAGTATACTAGATGGGACTGTAAACCACCACCTTGACTTATAACTGGCCACCCCCACCTTGTAGCAGTCATGGAAGTTGATAGTCCTCAATGGTCAAGTGTTCAAAACCCGCAACGTCGTCCCTGTATACTGGTTGCTTAATAGGATTTCCCTTGTGACTATGATAATCCTATATAATCCTCACCATATTGGATAAGTTTGCATCTCCTACAAGGTGGTGCTCCATACTTAGCAAATTTGTTGGGTTTACAATTCCGATTTGACTATGTAATCTATGATATACACATATATAGTTTTTTTGAGGGTACCACTTTGTATAATCATCAATCAACAGGGGTTTTGAATACCGCTCACTTACGAAGTTTGGCAATTCTTCGTGCAGCTAGGCAACTCCAATCGTCGCCAAAAGGGCCCCTGCCGTCGATTTCACAACGGTGCTCGCGATGTTTGCTCCACATTGTTGCTGGCAACACTTCAACACTATATACTGGTAATTTAACATAGCTATTGAACATGGACCATTTATGGTGGCCTACAAAAATGGCGATTTTCCATAGCAAACTGCTAGTTTACCAAAGGGCACGCACTAACTTGAATCACCTCTCACATGCTCTCACAAAAAATGTCGGAAAACTTCTCGTGATCGGTTTGCAGTGAGATCGTCATATATAATTCATCCAAGCACCATTCAACATCGTCTACGCAGAATCGTTGTGACAAGTTTTGGTTCACTTCCTCTTCTTTGTCATCAACCAACTAATGGCCAAAGATTCCGTCCCATTTGATTTACTGTAAGTAATTTCATACATGCAGCAATCATCAGTCAATCACATATATATATATATATTTATGGTTTATACATGCACGCGAACAATTTTTCATTATATATATATACATATATATATATATGCATATGTGTTGACATGCGTTCATGTGTATACATACATATATACACAGTATGCGTTTATATCCCCCAAAATCATCAAGGGGTTGCTGTAAAAAAAAATGTCGCCAGCAATGGCTTCATCAGTTCCCATCCAAACATCAGTGATAAATCAATCGAAGTAACTTTTGGATACATCTACCACTGACAATAAAACTCACCTACTTAACAAGCAAAGCATATATAAATATATAAGTATATGATAGTATATGATAGTATATGTATATGGTGTATAACTTCATTTGCGATGGATACATCTACCTAAAATCTGAGAGATAGATTCCCCAAATGGTTGTTCCATCAAAAAAACATAACTCAGTGTTTGCCAACTTTGCAAAATGTAGATGTTTGGTACGTATAACTATAGTGAATGGTGTTTTGAACGAAGAAACATTGATACCGTCAACCCTGCATGAATAACCCCTTGGCGTTGGGGGGGGGGTACCATTTAAGTACCAAATCATCACTATTTATTTGGGGAGTGCCCCGCCCCTGAAACAAATAGACCATGGTTTATTAATCTAGGGTTGACATTATTGGTGAATTATGTGCATTCTTATCAAATTTAGATGTTTGGCAGACATTCTAAAATGAATGGGTTTAAAAACCCACAAACAGTAATAAATAAATAGTATATATGTACCAATGAATGTGGTTATATGTTTTATATGTTTTATATGCTTTATATGTTTTATATGCTTTATATATTTTATATGCTTTAAATGTTTTATATGTTTTATATGCTTTATATATATTATGTCTGTCTATCTATCTATCTATTTATCTATCTATCTATCTATCTATCTATCTATCTATCTATCTATCTATATATCTGTCTGTCTGTCTATCTGTCTGTTTGTCTATCTGTCTGTCTGTCTGTCTGTCTGTCTGTCTACCTGGAGAGAGGTCAACTAGTTCAATTCTTTGCGATCTCGAAGGGTCCCTGGGGCACTGGCGGACCTTGGCTGGCATCTCCATCGGCACTGCCGCCGCCTCACCTCAAAAAGTACGTGTCCGGCTCAGAAATATGGGAATGGTGGATATTAAACATAGAAATAATCTAAACATATTTAAACAGAATGGGACATCATCTCACTCATCTACATAACTCATCCATAAACAATAATTAGGCATCGTTCATGGGGAAATCCTTTCGGTAAATTTGGCGTTTTAAACGGGAATATCATGAAAATAGCTTCCAAATGCTTCCAGTAAACGAATAGCCTCCCATTTGTCGGTCAAGTTCCTGGATCCAAAGCAGGATCGAAGGGTTTTTTTTCTCATCCACAAAGCAAGTGGTGTGACCCAAGGACAATTTTTTAAGCTGAAAAAATGTAGATGTCAACCTGAGTAAAAAAAAATCATCATCTTTCACTAACCTGAAATGTTGCGGCTGTTTGCGGATGATTCCCGAATCCTATCATGATTCCAGTGAGGGAGGACAGTGAGGTTGCTGTAATTTACCCAGATGCTTGGTCGTTTAAAAAAAAAAAAAAAAAATTGCTATAAACCCCATTTTACTGATATATCCAGTCGTATCCAATCAAATTCACCTTTAACTATAGCTATGTTTACCAACTGAGCAATTCGGATTGGTGGCATCACCTTGTACTCGGAACCAACATGCATAAACATCCACGCGCCACAGAACGACATTGAACTAACTCCGAGTGACGAGTTTCAGCGCCCGTTGCCTCCTGCCACAGGTCGGTGATATGACGAAATTGATGGCTGCTTGCAACAATCTTGTTTTTCTTGATGAGACAATCCTGGAAATGCTTACCCTCTGGTAAACTAACATAACTATGGGAAATCACAATTTTCAATGGGTAAATCCACTATAAATGGGCCATTTTCAATAGCTATGTGAAATTGCCAGAGGGTATCAATCGTCAAACCTATTGTGACGACATCCTCAAATGCATGGCAGTCAATCTGCTGTATTTTCGTGGCTATCCATTGTTAGTTAGTTCTCAAAGCGAAACATTGACCAAGCCTTGTTTTAACCGTTTTAACCATGACTGGATCGGCTCGTGTGCCCGCGATTGCAGTGTATAGTCGGTCCGGTCTGCCGTGAGACCATGACGCTCTCGTCTGACTAGTTTTGTGGTGTTTGTAAAGAACATAAAATTACTTGCAAGTACCAATCCCAGAGGCTCCATGTATGGAATATTTGTCTACATTTGGGCTATTTTTGATTATTTTTGAGGTAAATGTAGGTAAATATTCCATGGAGCATCTGGGAATGTTTGCCTACCCCAAAAATACCTGATGTTTTTTCGGACGCCCAAATAAAAAAATGGAACCCCTCCGCTTCAGAATCTCCATCGCTTGCGCCTCATCAGGATCTGCCAGTCCCAAGACTTCTGGGAAATCAGCACCTCAGGGAGTTTCCCAACAGCCTCCGATGTTTTTGTCCTGCTTTGGTCCTTGGATTATGCAGTTAAACCCTGTATACTAGTTATATATGGGCCTAAATGGTTACAAATGTGGTTGTCATTCCATAGGGGTTATAGCTATAGCTGACTTGTAACTGTGAAAGTGCCAGAACTGTGGATGGATTGTGGGATTTTGAACCAGCAGCCCCGCAGCCACACTGAAGCATTTTACATGAAACCCCGATTAATTGAGGGTATGTTTTTGCGTGGGCAAAAGGATGAGCCTTGTGACCAGATTGAGAACGCAAGAAGTCAACATTCGTAAAAAAAAAAAACGGTCTGGAACGAATGTCATTTGGTGATGCAGCCTACTCTGTTTATGTTGGCTGCACTACTTAGCAGCAATATCCACAGCAGGCAGCGAAGCTTGGCGGCACCAAGTCAAGGTATGGCATCAAGCATGCTATAGTTTCTGTTGAACATGACTAAAATAGTTTATCTTGAATATGTGTGTCTCCCTTTAAAAGTAATGTTTGTAGTTGGGCTATGCATGTATAGTTTCTGTCTAAAATGACTAAAATCACTTGTGATGAATTTGTATCTTTTTAAAACTAGTGCTTGCATTTGGGACCTGTAGGATGTCCCATATTGTGCACGAGTGCCCATGTCTTCCTGAAGGTTGACGTGCTCAGCCCATGTTCAGCCAAACCAACCGGATGCATATCTTGGTTTCCAAATCAGTACAGGAAATTATTCATCTAGATTTCAGAAACAAATCTTACATTTTTGCAGTTTCATGGATCAAACCATGCTCAATGCTCAGTTGGTTTATGGCTGCGCCAACTGCCCGTTTCACATCCACCACATCTTCCAGCCAGTAGGGTACCCATCAGCGGTGATGATGGACTGGCTGAACCATTACTGGCCGGTGGTCATCTCATCACTTCACACAAGAATCGTATAGAATCGTCATCTCAACCACTCATCCTATGTTTGAACAAAGTAGATAGTAAATGATAATAATACTAAAACACATCAGCCAAACTAGTCATTCACTCAGTTCTATCTAGATTTCAAAAGTTTTTCTTCATGTTCACTGCAGGGTGTCCCTATAATATGCCCATTTGAAAACACCATTTAGTTCGATGCTTTCCCCAAAAAAAACACACATGTCCTATAGAATCCCCAGTCATGGTGGATCGTCTATTGGGAAAATCAAACCAAATCACCAAGCAAAAAAGTATAGCTCTATCATGCTATATCATGCTATATCTAAATCACCATTCATATTCCTGGCTCCCAGTGATTTCCCCAATTGCCAATGAAATTCGTCCCAATTCGTCCCTGAGTCTCCAGACGTGGCAAGAAGCTCGGGTAGAAGGACGTCGTGGCCAAGGCTCCGAAGTCCACATCGCCTCGGCCGATCGAGGCGGCTCAGTCGTCCGGGCAACATGTGCACGGTTGCTGAACATGCTCATTTCAATGTTCCATATGCCAATTAAGTATTTGAAATACCATATGAACATCTATATATATATAATGGGCAAATGTTGATTAAGTTGATTTTAATCCAGGACACACTTGTCTAGTTGTTTTATGTGTAACATATAATCGATTTACAGTTTATCCTCAACCTATAGTTGATTCTATGTATTTGAACATAAAATCAAGAATCCTCCAAAGTCACGAATCGACCCTGGTGATGAGCTAAGGATTGGAACGTTTCTTCTAAGTCAAATGATGTGTAGACTCTGTAGACATTTAAATTTGCCATGGATCCAATATAGATCTACACGGCGTCATGAACTTGGAAAAATTCATTCAATCCACTTGTCAAACAATCTGGGTAAATTATAATATGGTCATGTACCAACCTGAATAATAATCAACATTATAATTATAATTATAACCTCAATATAATAATTCACCAACCTGAATTAAGGTCATTTGGGGATAGTCACCCCTACTAGCCACCATTCCCAGTGAGGTCGCAGTGAGGTCGTTATAATTTACCCAGAACAATGTATGAAAGCACCAACATGATCCACTACGACCATCTTAATTTCCTTGTTGAGTAAAACATTGAACTCGATCATTGCTGTTGCTTGTCCCGTGCGTTGTTGTGGCCACAAATTTCTTCATGCCTGTTGGGCTTTATACCAACCATCATTGCTTTCCAAGTGCTTTCATTTGCAATCTTGATTTTTGCTGAGCAAACAGCATAGACTCCCTTCCGACTTAACAGTTGGTCCCAAATAATTGCTTCAACCTTGAACATTTGCATAGTTTCGGTGCTCATTGAAGCTTTCCTGCACGCGAAAATGAAAACAATCGCGCACAAATACACACTTAATATGTTGATAATTTTTCATATGCCTCATTGAAACACATATGAAATTAACAAATGAATCAACTTAACTGACAACTAAACAACAAATAACAAATTGAATATAGTATAAATACATCTAAATGCAAATATTAATATATATATATATAATAACATATATATATACCTATATGTCTACATTGACACTCTACCAGTCAGCACACTGCGCCCCCTCACGTGGCGGTCCGCGGCTGTGGCCGTGGTGTCCGTGGTGTCCGTGGTGTCCACGCAACCATGGCTGGTAGGTGGGCGGAGGTGGCACCTGGGACGTCGACGTCGTGAAGGAAGTGGATGTCACTGGCATGATGATGTTTTATGGTGGTTTTATGGTGTTTTATGGTGGTTTTATGATGATGTTTTATGGGGAAAATTGGGAGCTGGAAAACCCCGAAAAAAATGGAGGTTCTTGTGGGAAATTGTCCTAGTTCTCCTATAAACGAGGGGATTTTCCAATGCCATGTTTGACTTGACTACCGGAAGGTACTTCTCCCTATTACTAGAACTTCCCCAATTAATTATATAATAAAAAAATAATGGATTGGCAATTTGTTTTCTTTGGTGGATTACAATTGCGTTCTTAATTGTGGTAATTGAAAATCAATAGGAGAACAGGATGGTGAAATAATTGTTTGTAACTCCCTATTAAAAAAAGAAAAAACACACCTGATGTTTCTTTTTTAAGTCCTAATTATTTCCTGGCTCCCTGTTCCATCTGCTGTCTGTCTGCATGATTTTGCAGCGTCATGCCTGGCTGTATGCCTGGCCGTCCGGTTCTGTCGCTGACCGGCTGACTTGCTGACTCAGAAGCTGGATGGCAACAACCCAAATGCCAAAACTGATATTAATCTCTGCTCCCTAATACTAGTACAAACATGTAGGCCCCTAATACTATCCTAATACTACAGTAAATACCCTTTAGTAATAAACATAGATCACCGTGTTTACCGTTTGGGGTGTGTGTGTTTTAGTAGGGAGCAGGGATTCATTTCAAATTACTCTAGCATAAATCTGATTAAAGCGACAAGAATCGGGGTACAATTTTCCAAAACTCCCCAGTATCACTATTTTCATGCAGTTATGGCCATTAAAATTCGTTACAACTGGTGATTTCTATGGGATTATACATTCTATAAATGGGCTTATAAGTATACTTATAACTGGTAAAGGGCCATAACTGTGGGTGGTAACTTGGTAACTATCATCCCCAAATGGCAAGTTTTTGGCATTAATTTTACCACATTAACGGCATGGTCTGTGGATACAATGGGGTAATAACGGGAAACAAGTTTCTGGTGATACCGGCGTTTGATTCAATCCCACTCGGCCAGTTGTGGCGCAAGGCTGGACATTGTCTGCTCGTGGTCCTCTTGCCACCAGGTGGGATTTTGTTGTTGCCTCCATGGCCGCCTCGTTCTCGGGAAGTTGGAAATTCATGGTTGCACCACCATGGGCAGATTGCACGTACCTGTTGAAACATCAATTGTCTTTTAAACACTCACTTAAACTCTGGAAAAAACGGGAAAATGGATGGTGTTGTCATGTCATCTCAGTTCACATCATTCCTCAAAGATGGTGTTATAGTGGGCTTCAATGTGGATGTATTGGGTGACATTTTAAACACTGCTCCGACGGAAGGGGATTGTCACCGCCAACAAATTGGGATTAAACAAACAATCATTTCACCATTGAGGAAATATTGCAATGGTTCCTTTTCTATTCTAGCTGACATGGGAATAAATGGTGCCATGGACAAAGCAAATGGAAAAGTCACTGAACATTCTTATCACAAAATTACCCTCTGGTAAACTAACATAACTATGGAAAATCACCATTTTTAATGGGACAACTCACTATAAATGGCCGTTTTCAATAGCTATGTTAGTTTACCAAAGGGTATCTTTCAAATCTAAGATGATACTCCTCCATTTATCTGGTGTTTTCTCATTGATGAACTCGCCCCGAATATTCAGGACCATTCAGGACGAGTCCGAAAAAAAATCACCCTTTATATACTCATCATGATTTACGGTGCCGCATTGATGATTTGTTTTTGTGGGAATTATTATATAAATGCTGATGCTCTTGCTTGGAACCCACAATCATGAAATAAAACTTCATGGGCAACAAATGCCACGTATCCAAACGATCTGATGGCTGGACTGAGATATACCAAAATGTAGCACATTTTGTATGAACAAAGCTTGAGATTCCTTTTTTTTGTCCATTTCAAATGACCAACTGGACCAACAGGCCTTGTCTACTACTCGAAATGGCCAGTCTATCAACTGCATGGAGGTTCACAAATTCAGGACCACAAAGGTTTTGAACTCGTAGTACATAAGAAGTCGGCTATGACCAGTGCTGCTTACAGGGTTTCTTGACCGGAAGAGAAATCAAGAATGTGGCTCACAGAAAAAAAACAACCCCAACCATCTCTCCAAACCAATCTCAAACCTAGAGTTCAAACATTGCAGCGGACAAATTTTAAGATTTACACCACCTAAACCTACCCTCTGGTAAACTAACATAACTATGGAAAATCACCATTTTTAATGGGAAAACTCACTATAAATGGCCATTTTCAATAGCTATGTTAGTCATAACCAGAGGGTAAATCTTACGGAACGCTACGGAAAACTGGGGGTCAGAAATTCATGATTTTACTCTCCGATATTAGCCCAAGTGTTGGGTCCCATTTGGCGAAATTTTGAGCTCCATAAATTCCAATCCCCATACCCAATTATATACGGTTCATGGCATACCCTCTGAGGTAAACTAACATAGCTATTGAAAATTGTGATTTATAGTGGATTTTCCTATTAAAAATGGTGATTTTCCATAGCTATGTTAGTTTACCACAGTGTATCTATATCCCATCCAAATGATTATGCCAAGTTATATCCCATTTATCATTTACCCTCTGGTAAACTGTCACATAATTATGGAACATCACCATGCTATCAATGGGCAAATCAACTATTTCTACGGCCATTTTCTAAATAGCTTTTTGTATGCTTACCAAAGGGTATCCAATGGATTATATACCACTTATATCCCACTTATATCCCACTTATCTCCCACTTATCATTTATCCAATGATTTCCCATGAAATGCTCAACATCTTCGTTCTTTTCGGTTGAAGGTCTACAGATCGTTGAACCCGCGTTGCCGCAAAGTGGCTGGATCGCTCAGGCCACTGCACTTCAACATCACCTTTGGACCTCGGTGACGGTGGCAGTGACCGGAGATATCATCGAAGATATGGATAAAATTCAAGGTTGATACCATCAAGGGGGGCTTACCTGCAAACAAATATATATATATATATACAAATATGAGTGTGTGTGTGTATTATGATGACATGACATAATGGAAAAAAAAAACAGATGATTTACCTCCCAAGAAATATAAGAATATAATAGGACAAACGGCCGACCAAGTTGGAGATACAGCACGAAACTTAGCATGGGGATACAACGGCTGAACCAACTCAATAGCCGTGGGCCCCAAGGCATATCTGCAGTTACAGATGTGTGTGCCCGTGTGATGTGCCATAAACAACCTAAACCTCTTGAACATGTTCTGATTCTTCATCTACATGTCCAAATGATCAAATGGAAAGTAGCCACTTTATCCCGGAGCTGATTGCCACCTTGACTCACCTTCATGGCGCTGGGAGCTGGGTAGCCTATGATTGACAAGAGCATAATAGCACGCATGCCCCCTAGACCCGCTAAACTTAACATGGAATCCCAAATACTTTTGCTTGACACTTTATTTTCCGATTGGATACATACATTTTTTTGATTATATATATATATGTATGTATGTAATATTATATATATATATATTGTGTGTGTGAATTTAAGTGGTGTCAATCTTAGGGTGATGGGAAGTCATATGATATCAAGGCCTGATATCCAAATTTTCAGTCGTGTATAGTCTCTGCATGGTAGATTTCCAGTACATCCTTGCATTCAAAAGTACATCTGCCTTGCAGGTTGAACCAAATCTAGAACTATTTTTTTGAATTTCCGTTCATTCTTGCTATTCACTAAATTATGTAATATTTTCACAGAGACACACACATTTATATATATATATATATGTATAATATTGTTCTGTGCCAAGGGCCAAAAAATCACAACACATCGTTCAGCCACACGAGCTGGTGTCCGCCCCCCCAGGGTTTCTGCCAGCGCCAAGGGACAGATCACCGGATACGATGGGCCCTCGAAAACCCTCAGCAATGCCAGGGTGGGTGAAGATATGGGCCGGGATAGCATCAAAAATGGGCGGGTATATACTGGTTGGTGGTTGAGCCTACCCCTCTGAAAAGTATGAAAGTCAGTTGGGATGATTCTTCCCATACATTATAGAAAATACAAAATGTCTAAAACCACAAACCAGTATATGGTATTAATTGATAATTCGTACAATAGTAGTTTATTCGTTATTGTCATTAATGGATAAATGGTTGTGATGGTTTGGGTATGTTCCAAAATTTCACGGGCAATTCTCAGGCAAAATGAAGGCTTCAACTGACATCATTCCAGTTCTGGTGTCAAGACCAAAACTTTTTCGGTACCCTCTGGCAATAACAACCAATTTTGCGAACTGGAAAATCATGATTTATAAATGGGTAAGTTTCCATAGCAACTGTTAAACTGCCGGAGGGTATGTGGTAATGTGCTATTCCCAAAGCCCTGAACGATTCGCGAAGTCTCCAGATTTCTGAGATTGAAGCCATGCAAAATTGGAGGTTTATGGTGCTGGGTTCACCACATTAGATCATTAGATGGAAATTGAGCTCCAGAACTCACAAGAGGTACCCATTTCTTACATTGAGGAAAGTTCAGGTTTCCCCTGTCATAAAGTGTGATCGAGTCTCTGACTCGAACATATAGGCCACAGCAGGAAACTCAACATTGAATTTATCAATAACTTCTTTGCAATCCGCTAGTTTCAATATCTAAATTCTTTCCCCTCCCCCTTGGGCCTCTTAACAATTTCCTGCATCTATGTGGATTCAATATCTAGGCTTTCCATGACTTCCCCATGGTCCATCAACAATTTCTTGCACGCATCGTCTTTCAATATCTGGATTTCCCGCCCCTAGGCCCTAGGCCTCCTGCATTCATGTGGATTCAATATCTAGATTTCCCTTGACTTCACCCCCTCTCTCAAACACTTCCTGCATGGCATTCATTCAATTTCAATATATTATATATATATACATCTGACTGACAAAGTCGCCAACCACATATAACAATGGGTTTCCGCTTCTTTTTCCCCCCACAATAGCAGCAAGGTCCGCAAAGCAGGTGCGCGGATCAAAAAAAAAAACAGTCTCGAAAACAATCAGCTTCCCTGTCAAAACAATCCCACTAGGTCCAGCACAAACTCACGCAGGTCCACATATTTTTTTAACACGGTCCAAAAACCGCACATGTATGTCTGCCACAATTTTCCCTGCCCCAGGTCCGAAAAAAATACAGCCAGGTCCAACAAATCATGTACATGTCAAAAAACAACATGTGCCAAGGTCCAAAAACCATCCAGCCCAAAACAGTTTAGCAATGTTGGAACCAGTTTGGATAGTTTACTACTAGTTTGTCGAGTTTATGCTAAAATAGTTCAGCCAGAATGGTAAACTCGTTTACAGGTCAGGGCTAAACTCACCTGGCCTTGCTTGTTAAAGCTGGCTCCAGTACCAAAACTAGTTGAACTATGTTACCTAAACTAGTTTAGCCAAGCTACCTAAACTAGTTTAGCCAAGTCATCTAAACTAGTTTAGGCACTTTATCAATGGCCATTTCAGGAACCTAAATTGGAGGTACCTACCATATATATATATATATATAAGGCCTATGTAGGGGAATATCCCCAGAAAAGATGCCCTTATATGGTACAGTACCTCCATTTTAGGATCCTGGAATTCCCATTGACTTTAGGTAACCTGGCTAAACCCGCCCAAACCTGTTTAGCTAAACTGGTTCAACCCTGCCATTTAGCTTAGCAACGGTAGTGTAAACTAGTTTACGCACGTGCCAAACTCTTCAAACGCTTTGAGCAACTTATAAACTGTTGATAAACTGCCTGAAAGCGTATAAATTCATCAAAGACTTTAGCCAGGTTATAAGTTCCTCACTTTAGTGATGTTTTTGTAAACCTCCTAAATTGGCGAAACAGTTTTTAAACTGGTCGAACCTCGCAAGCAAACAGGTCATCCGGAGCGCTGAGGATTGCCGCAGCAAGCTTGGGGGCAACTGGGCCGAGGGCAACATATCCTCTGTGCAAAGAATATCAAAGATGTTCAAAGAATATATGCCTCGATATTTTTCTTCTAGGAGAAATGAATCAACAAGAAATCCAGACCTCCAGTGACATGGTCAAGTTAGATGATATTAATGGTTTAGGGTCATCCCACCCCCATGGGAATCCAAACGTCACGGGTTTTAAGTTTTAAGCAAATCCCATCAGATCAAATTGATGATTCCCATCCCCGAAGAACTGGGTTTATCATGGAAACTAAATCACCACTTTACCACTTTACCACTTTAACTGGTTGATTCAAGTTCAATCTTTAAAAAAAAAATCAGATGTGACAATGTGGGTAAAACAATGTCATTTTTACATAGTTTTACCACCCATGTTCCTGGGAATGGTTTTTATATAGCACCTATAAAAATGGATAAAACTGGTACTGAGGGATGTAAAAATGGTACTGGGGGATGGTCAACATGGCATTGATCGTCCCAGGTGCTGGTGGTACTGGTCCCCCCAAATGCCGGCCTGGGGAAGGCATCGTCAAGGCCCGATTCCAAAAGTCAGATGCAAAACATGGGCTGGGTCATAGGATCCGTTAACGCAATAGGGTGAAAAATGGGATAATGGGATATCATCATATATAATCATTAACGGGATTTGCTGATGTTTGTAAATGCATTGTATATGTATATATATATATATATGTATATTAGATCAATACATACACACACATACATACATACATACATACATACATACAAACATTCATACATACATACATACATAACATACATACATACATACATACATACATACATACATACCTACCTTACCTTACCTTACCTTACCTTACCTTACCTTACCTTACCTTACCTTACCATACCATACCATACCATACCATACCATACCATACCATACCATACCATTACATTACATTACATTACATTACATTACATACATACATACATACATTACATATATATATATATATATTATTATAGCTATTTGCAAATCAGTTTGCATTACAGTACTGTACCACAGGATGACCCCAAAAATGCCAACATTGAAGTCCCAGTGGGCACTGGGACAGACTTTTCAGGAAAACCAGATTCAGGTAGATCCAAGACAATTCACCACGGCTTCTGTGGAGGCATTGATGTTTATCAATGTTTATCATGGTTTCCAGTTTGGAACACCTGCGTTCATGGTGGTTTTAAGTTTTCCCTGGTTTTTCCATGTTTTTTCCACATGATCATGGTTTTTGTCCATGGTTTTTCCATTGTTTTTCCACCTTCTTGTTGTATTCCAGGAGGGCAAAACTACTTCAGGATCAGGTGATTCACCAAGAGATTCACCAGGCCTGCTGGGTGGTTCCTTGATTCCCTGCAAGGCGTTGCCTATAGGATGCCAAAATTGAAAAGGTATGCCAGATATCTGGGTAAATTATAATAATTCACAAACCTGAATTAAGGCCATTTGGGGATGATTTCCCTTATTAACTATGATTATAGTGAGGGAGGACAGTGAGGTCGTTATAATTTACCCAGAGATATTAAATACATATGTTTTCCAGTGGACGATTTTCCAACCAGGTGCTGCCCCTCTGGGAAAAAAGTTGGTATATCCACCCATCAAACCTAGTTGGTGGTGGAGCCTACCCCTCTGAAAAGTTGGGATTATGAAATTCCAAACCACCAACTAGTATTATAATGCCCAAATCGGGCAATGGCAACCCAAGTCAAGGACTTTCATTGCTTTCATACTGTTTAACATGGGTATCAAAACAACTTACAAAAAGGATACCCTCCGGTAAACTCACATAGACTCTGCCATGAGTCGGGGTTGGTGGTTCTTAGTTTCCACTGAAAATTGGTGATTTCCCAGAGGATACCCTCTAGTAATGACTAACAGTTAGCTATTGAAAATTGCCCATTGAAATAGTGAATTTTCCCACTAAAAAAAATGGTGATTTTCCAGTTCGTTATGTAGACGTTTCCCAGAGGATTTTGAATGGAAAAAACCATCCTCCCAATGAGTCCCATTCAATAAACCACTTGGGGTTTATAATGTCAACCATGATTTATATAATATCAACCACTTATGAATAAATATTCCCAATAAATATTCGTCACACATACAAACCCAACCATGATTGATGTTGATTTATCAATTATCTCCCAATATGTTTGACAGTTTAAACCCCCATTGACCTATAAAAACTGAGTTAAATCCCATGAAATCGAAACACAAACAGATATCCTCTGGTAAACCCAAACTAAGCTACGGAAAATCACCATGTTTAAGAGCTAAATCATCCATCAATATATCAATGGACCAATTTCCATAGCTATATGTGGCCACCCATCACGTTCCCCACGGCCACGCGACACCCGAGCACCCCGAGCGCCAAGAAACCGCGAGGCAGTCCACGGTCCGTTGCCGTTTCACTTCCTTGCTGAAGCTCTCCGGCCTAGGCATAGTGAAACAAACATCGGATGCCCGGTAGATAGCTATATAACCAAATATTCCTATACATTATAGATGATATTATATTTATAGAAATATCATATGGTTTATCTCTAATATACATATATATATATTTATAACTAATATGTTTTTTTTCTATAAGCAATATTTCTGACGGTGGAATAAACATGTTTGTGTATGCACATAAAAATGCTTGTGGACATATTTGTAGATATGGTTAGTTATCAATGTCTAATACCATATCAAACAACCTATCTACTTTCATATATATATATACACATTCATAAACATATGCATATAGACATTGGCCACAACCATCGATCAATGGAAACCATTCTGCTTGCCACAGGCGTCACGGTAAAACGGCATGATCTTGCTCTTTTGCGCAAGTTATGGCGAACCCAAACACATTACTGGGGGGTCCTTGTCATCTCCCAAAGAAGCGCAATACACAAGAGAAATTTGCTGAACCTGGCACATATTCATGGATTGCTGGGAGAAAAAAAAAGAGGAAATCCTATATATAATTCTAACCATCTGGAAAAATATAAGTCAGTTGGGATCATGATTCCCAATATATGGAAAAATAATTCCAAACCACCAGCCCGTTGTGATGGGAAGCATGATTTCTTGACCTGGAATTTACAGACTGAGTCCGACCCCCGGGCCCTGGACGCAATCATCCCTATTCATCTCTTCCATTTTTTGAAGGTGTAATGGATTTTAGCCCTAATTGCAAAGTACTTTCCAGGTGGGCATATGGGGGGTATATGGCAATAGTTTCTGGTTACTATATCCCAACTCATGGTTAAACCATCCCATGTTGAGCTGTGAATTGCACCATGTTTTCCAAGCGGACGATTTTCCAACCAGCAATGTGAAAAAACATACCAGGTGCTGCCCCTCTGGAAAAAAAGTTGGTATATCCGCCCATCAAACTATATCTGATTGGTGGTTGAGCCCTACCCCTCTGAAAAATGATGGAGTTCGTCAGTTGGGATGATGACATTCCGAATATATGGAAAAATAAAAGCCATGTTCCGAACCACCAACCAGATATAATCAGTCATTACGTCACTACAAACATCTGCAAACCCAATCGTTAACCTTGTGATTTCAACCAACTTAGCGTGGATGTGCTCCTTAGGGGACGCAACAACAAAAGAAAACAAACCATCTCAACAGATCCAGGCAGGTGAGGAACCCAGGTCCTACAAATATCCTACATATATATATATATATTCACCAAATCATCATTAACCAATTGACAAAATTATAAGTCAATTTAGAGTAGCTATGGTCCAAAATACATGTTTTTAGTCACTATGATACAACCCAAAACAAAAGTTTTAAAAAACTGATAAAGGGACCAGATCCCATTACCTATAGATACTATCGATCAAAACACATATTAAACCATAGCTAGCCATAGTTAGCTGGGAATTAAATCAATTTGAACAGTGTCCAAAATCCCTCTGTCATTCCATTTAATCCTGGTTGCTTAAGAACGGGGAATCCCGTTCTTGGATGGTTAGAATCACCAACATATTAGTATCATCACCGAAATCATCATCAACCAAACATCACTTATCGACCATACCCACTTATATATCAAGTTAGGGAGAATAACATATCCACCAAACATATCATCATCCACTTGTAAATCATATGTATCAATTACATTAAATATATCCTAAATATGTCCATGTTTTGTTTGTCAACCAGGCTTTAGCATCACAGAGCCCAGGCACCACTGTGTGCACTGATTCGGGTCACACTTCCTGAAGCGGAGCTGATTTTGGTGGCCCAAACATGTTAGCTTGGTTGATAACTATGATGACTGGGGATTAAAATGGTTTTAATGGTTTTAAAATGAATTTAAAATGGTTTATGGTGGTTGATAATGGCTTGCAATGGTTTTTACTGGTTTATAATGGTTTAAAATGGTCTATAGTTGTTATAATCAGTTATAAGGTATAACTATAGTTAGATGAGTGTATAAACTTGTGACTGGGGGGGCACCTTGTAGCTTAATGTGATGAAGAAAAACATGGGAACCTACTATTTATATAATCATGTGGGGATGAGGTGTTAAAACCTATTGCTGCGTCATACTGGGGCTAGTTCATTCTTCGCTTTGCCATATTATAGCCTATGTATGCATAGGCAAATATATAATATGTATATATATATATATATATACACAGAACATGATATATATATGTATATATATGTATATATATATGTATATGTATATATATGTGTGTATATATATATATATTTATCAGAACATATTAAATTCTACTGAGGTACTCCTCCAAGATTGACCCAGGAAAATAGCACGAAAAAAGGTACAAGAAAGTAGGGTTGAAACGTTACCAAATAGGGTCCCAATGGGGGTACAACATGACAAAACTATCAACATGGGTTCTGAAGCTCAGGGACGCCAACATCCTATGGGGTGTCCTATGGGCGACTGGGAAGTTGTGCAGCCGACACACGGGTTGGACATGCTTACGCTGGACCTCCCAAACATTTTTTGTTTGTTCATAAAGCCCATTAACATCCATTAACTAGCTTGGCATATCTATAAACCATAGTTATCCTAGTTCCAAACCAAGTTAGCTAACATTTTTGGGCACCACCTTGTACCATTTGCAGATCTTGAGTTTGCTTTCTTCGTTTCAGCCAATCAGACCTACTGGTTTGGCCATGGCTGTGTCTTCCGGAGCCACAATGTCCATTAAACCAGCTGGGTAGAAACCCATGTCTTCATCAACCATCACCTGAAAAGAAACCAGCGGATTGACCCTCTGGTTATGTCAAAATAGCTATTGAAATTGGTGATTTAGTTCGTGGATTTACCCATGAAAATCGCATGGTGACTTTCCAGTTCGTTATGTCAACGTTTACCAGAGGGTACTTGGTCCATGTTCAACCCCACCATTGACTCTGCTGCTGCGCAAGCTAGTTCATTGGCATCGCTAGTTCATTGGCATTGTTCAGGCGCAATTGGCTGAGCCGTGCTCCATTTTCGTGGTCGACCTCTTTTTTCCAACCTTTTCTCCGAACACGTTCGATGGCGAACCTCCAACCATAAATTCAATATCATAATCACTGCGTGATACCCTGGATAAAGAATGGTCGGTACCTGTTACCGGCCCTCGTGGCACCAAACATCAGTTGTAAGAAAGTTTTCCCCACATATCCATCAATAAATTCTCCATGAATTATGGCAATCTCATTGTGCCATGATTACCAATTTTGGATAGCTCATCAGTGGGTTTTCCTTATAAACCAAAACAATCTAACCATGCAAACCATCATTATATCTCATTTTGGTCAAAGAAGTGGGTTAATCCCGAATTGCACTATGCATCCAAAATCCCAATCAACCAATTACCCTCCAGTATTCTTACATGGCAATGGGAAATCCCTCTAAATTGAGGTGTTCATGGTAAAATTCCAGCATAGCTGGTTCATTTTCCATAGCTATGTTAAATTACCAACAAGGATAGCCGCAGTATTGCTTGAATCCCCATACTTGGATTTGTCTTAGGGGTCCCCGAAAAATAAAACATATTCACTATAGATTCCCCAGTCATGGCGGATGTCCCATTAGGAAAAAACATCACCTTTCACGCGTACTCTCCAAGCATTTTTTTCGCCAAGATTCTCCAGATATGCCTCGATGCCTGAAACATCGCAGCGTTTTTTGGCGACAAGACACGTTGATGTTTGCATTTTTTGGGGGGGTCTTAAACTGGGACATTGCAATTGATCTTTTGGATTGCCGAAACTGCGTTCTATATGTCATTTAAGTGGACTTTTTTTTGGGGCTTTTTTGGGTTTGCAGTCCCAGTAGATTCCACATTTCTAGTGGATTATACAATCGGATGGGAAATTGTCCGACAAAACGGCTGGGATGCACCCCCCCATTTGCTCGCCATGGAAAGGATGGCGAAGATTCCAAGGCGACCCAGGGTTCCAGGTCAGAAACATCGAAGCCGTGGCCCATTTGCTTTGATGATTTACTGCAAAATGGTTGGATTTCAAGAGTTATGTTAATTTACCAGGGGTAGCCCAACACAATACTGGTGGTTGAGTAGCCACCCCTCTGAAAAATATGACTTCGTCAGTTGGGATTCTTATTGCCAATATATGGAGAAATAAAATTACTTTACTTCGTGTGATCCCCACCATGACATTTATACATTTTGTTACTGGCAAATCTTCTGGCATTCTATCTGACATATTTTCTGGCATTCGATCTGGCATTCTATCTGGCATATCTTCTGGCATTCTACCTGGCATATCTTCTGGCAGATGTTCTGGCATATCTTCTGGCAGATGTTCTGGCATATCTTCTGGCATATCTTCTGACATATGTTCTGGCATATCTTCTGGCATTCCATCTGGCATTCTATCTGGCATATCTTCTGGCATATTATCTGGCAAATCTTCTGGCATTCCATCTGGCATTCTATCTAGCATATCTTCTGGCATATTATCTGGCAAATCTGCTGGCATTCTATCTGGCAAACCTTCTGGCACTTTATCTGGCATATCTTCTGGCATTCTAGCTGACATTCTATCTGGCATTCTATCTGGCATACCTTCTGGCATTCTATCTGGCATATCTTCTAACATTCTATCTGGCATATCTTCTGGCACTCTATGTGGCATATCTTTTGGCGTGGATACTCGCGGTTGAGGTCCAGCAGGGAACACTGGGCGTGGATGGTCGTGGTTGAGGTCCGGCAGGGAACACTGGGCGTGGATGGTCGTGGTTGAGGTCCGGCAGGGAACACTGGGCGTGGATGGTCGTGGTTGAGGTCCGGCAGCGAACACTGTGGATCGCGGGTCGCAGTTGGACGAGGAGGACGAGGAGGACAACGAGACGAGGAGGACAACGAGAGGAGGAGGACAACGAGAGGAGGAGGACGACGAGAGGAGGAGGAGAGGAGGAGGAGGAGCAGGCAACTTAGATAAAATCTAACAACCCTCACCTGGCAGGTGGGGAAATATGTTCCAAACCACCAACCAGATATCTCATTAACCATTATTAACCAAGCCATGTTCCAAACCATCAACCAAATTATGATAAACACTCCGTATGATCCTCGGCATCGCAGCCGGTAGAGTCTTGGGCCTCCAACCTTTGCAAACTTTGCAATTGAAAGTCCCGAAGAATATCCATTGGCAACAACTATCCAGGCCATATAAGTATTAGCAAAACAAAACGGGAAATAAATCATCTATAACATCTTGGAAAAAAGCTGTATTGCCTTTTGGGGATCCCTATATGCAAGGAAGTATCTACTTATTGTCATACCCCCATATACCCCATGACCGCCCATGACATCCCACATAAAATGGCTCGCTTTATAAACAGTCTTTACCTACACTTGGTGGGTTATATCCGCAGCCATAGCTGGACATTGTCCCTTGTCCCACTGCAGTAACGATACAAACATATACAAACATATACAAACCACTTTCCCATCCCAGAAAGATGATCCACCAAAAGTATCCTACTGTGAACTCACATTCTTATAGGACAATCCATGATGTGTAAATGTCTAGATGGTTTCCTCAGGAAACCATGAGTTTTCCAAGGAAAAAACTCGAAACAGATCGGAACTATAATGAGGTAAAACCAATTTCATAAACCGTCCCCAATTGGGGTTTATGAAATTGGGGTACGCCCCTTGGTACGCCAAATAATGCCTGGGATGATTTAAAATGACCCCCAGTCACGGTTGGTTACTGGAATGGATCAGTTTTTCCGAACGGGTCTCTTGATGGGTGTTCCAGATTCGCTTGTCAACGTTAACCAATTAACCCCACCAGGGTAAATTTCATTCGATGGAAACTTATTTCTGGAAACCAAGGTATTGTGTTTCTTTTTCCCCACCTGCCAGGTGAGGGTTGTTAGATTTTATCTAAGTTGCCTGCTCCTCCTCCTCCTCTCCTCCTCCTCTCGTCGTCCTCCTCCTCTCGTTGTCCTCCTCCTCTCGTTGTCCTCCTCGTCTCGTTGTCCTCCTCGTCCTCCTGCTCAACTGCGACTCGCGATCCACAGTGTTCGCTGCCGGACCTCAACCACGACCATCCACGCCCAGTGTTCCCTGCCGGACCTCAACCACGGCCATCCACGCCCAGTGTTCCCTGCCGGACCTCAACCACGACCATCCACGCCCAGTGTTCCCTGCCGGCCCTCAACCACGACCATCCCCGCCCAGTGTTCCCTGCCGGACCTCAACCACGACCATCCACGCCCAGTGTTCCCTGCCGGACCTCAACCGCGAGTATCCACACCAAGTGTTCCCTGCCGGACCTCATGTAGGAAGATAAAATGTCAGATAGAGTGCCAGAAGATTTGCCAGGTAGAATGCCAGAAAATATGCCAGAAGATATGCCAGATAGATATGCCAGAAGATATGCCAGATAGAATGCCAGATAGAATGCCAGAAGATATGTCAGATAGAATGCCAGAAGATATGCCAGATAGAATGCCAGAAGATTTGCCAGATAGAATGCCAGATAGAATGCCAGAGATATGTCAGAATATATGCCAGAACATATGCCAGAAGATATGCCAGATAGAATGCCAGATAGAATGCCAGAAGATATGTCAGATAGAATGCCAGAAGATATGCCAGATAGAATGCCAGAAGATTTGCCAGATAGAATGCCAGAAATATGCCAGAAGATATGCCAGATAGAATGCCAAATAGAATGTCAGAAGATATGTCAGATAGAATGCCAGAAGATATGCCAGAAGATATGCCAGATAGAATGCCAAATAGAATGTCAGAAGATATGTCAGATAGAATGCCAGAAGATTTGCCAGAAGATATGCCAGAAGATATGCCAGAAGATATGCCAGAAGATATGTCAGAATATATGCCAGAAGATATGTCAGATAGAATGCCAGAAGATATGTCAGAATATATGCCAGAAGATATGCCAGATAGAATGCCAGATTGAATGCCAGAAGATATGTCAGATAGAGTGCCATAAGATATGCCAGATAGAATGCCAGAAGATTTGCCAGATAGAATGCCAGAAGATATGCCAGAAGATATGCCAGATAGAATGCCAAATAGAATGTCAGAAGATATGTCAGATAGAATGCCAGAAGATGTTCCAGTAAGAACATGTATAAATGTCATGGTGGGGATCACACGAAGTAAAGTATTATTTTTTCGAAACTGTTCTGCTTATATCGAAACTGTTCTGCTTATATCTTGGTTTATATTATTGGGAAATTCTTTATCTGGTTGGTGGACTGAACCCCTCTGAAAAATATAAAAGTCAGTTGGGAGGATTATTCCCAACACATGGGAAAATAAAAAATGTTCCAAACCACCAACCAGTCATTACCCTCTGGTAAACTAACATAGCTATAGAAAATCACATATTTTAGTGGGTAAATCAACTATTTCTATAGTCTTTTTCAACAGCTACGTTAAATTACCAGTAATTTCACTGATGAAGAATAGAATATAATCAATAGAATTATATTCACTGATGATTCTAGATTCACCATTAATTAGTGTTGATTAGATTCACCATTAATTAACCAACCAGTCATTATTCCATACCCTCTGGTTATTTTTACATAGCCATTGGAAATGGTCCATAGAAATAGATGGTTTACCTATTAAAAAAAGTGATTTTCCATGGCAAACTGTTAGTCATAACCAGAGGGTACCTCTTTCCATGGAAAATCACCATTTTATAGCTAAATCCACTATAAATCACCATTTTCCATAGAAAATCACCATTTTGAGTGGGCAAGTCCACTATTTCTATGGCCATTTTCAATGGCTATCTTGATGAAAGTCCAACGGTTTCCGGATCCCACCGATCCGATATGACTCCGATGCCGATCCCACGGTTCCACCTGGCTCCGCTGCGGAGAGCATGAAGAGAACGATGATCTGCGGCTGCCACGAACCAAAAATGTGGTTCTATCATGTTCAATCCCTGGTGTTTGTGAGGAAGGTCGAGTTAAACTAATCGTTTTTTACACACTTAAAACATCTTTAAACTGTTTTTTTCACTTAACATAACTTGTAACCTACTTACAAATGGGGATGACCAAGTAAGCACCACACATCGGAAAATCAATTCGATGTTGAGTTCTCTCCAAGAGTATCGCGAATCATAGGTATCCTGTTGATTATTCCTGGCTTGACATTATGATTCTCCCATGCTAGTGGCCAAACAAACAGAACAGTGGAACATATGTATATAAATATGATATAAGTATCGTTTATAACATCGTGGAAACACTTTTTTTTACCTTTTCTGGAGGTTGCGATAAGCTGTAGACCGAACAACCTACCCAGGGAGTGACCCCGGAACGTCAGGTACCCTTCGGGGTCATCAAAGTGGGAAATCCTTGGAAAACCATCGAGCTACGAGGATGATTCTCTACTGGAGGGCATACCCTCTGGTAATTTAACAGTTGGACCCTGAAAATCACCAACTCTTAATGGAAACTAGTCTTCCAACCCCTATCTGCCAGGGTCTATGTTAATTTACTGGAGGGTAATGTTTTTTTTTTTTTATGTGTGCATCAGTGCATCTGCTCGAACATCGCCCAATCTTGCCACATCTGGTGGCCCGTCCGGGGGATTTCAGATGCACATTACATAAATTTATATTTTCCAAGATCGAGGACCTCAGACAGAGGGAACATGAGGGAACCCATTATTTTTTATAAACAAATAATAGTTTTGTTTTTTTGGAAATGGATACCGTACTGAAGATTCTGTCAAATATCCCATCCCTCAGCAGCTACGACGTCACGTTCTTCTGAACTCATCTTCCGGGCGCCAAGGGGCGCTGCCGATGAGAGCGCAAATGGAACAGGAGCAATGAATGAAGTTGCAGCCGCAGAAGCAGCCCACCAAACCTTCCCATGGCCCGGTGTCAGAATCCCATGGCCCCATGGCGGTATAAATATATACAAAACACTTAGAAACACTTAGAAACCAAGATTACGAAGTTACTAAGCCATACTAAGCCCACCAAGAGGGTGACGTTTTGCCTAGTAAAATCAAGACGATCAAGGAGCCACATGGAGCCACTGGTTCCCGGGGAGAGTGGCCCCTTCATATATCCAATAGATAGCAAATATAAACCCATATGAGTGCGCTTGTTGATGGCTAATAATCTCATATTCACAACCTACAAGCCTACAAGTCGACTTAAATCACATCAACATCCTGGAAAAAACATAACAAAATGCAGTTGCTAGATGTTACAAGTAAGGTATGCCAAACATATCTGGTTGGTGGTATACCTACCCCACAACATGCAGCTCTTTAACTGCCGTGACGTCTGTCACTTTTCCGGCCTTGACTGTTTTGCTTGGCACCCAGGTAGCCACAGAGTGGCACCTGGCGAGTAATTTCCCTGGAAAAGTCGCTGGGAACATTGGGATCTGCTATGGGCTCTCAATGGGATAAAGGATTGAGAAGATTTTGCCACCGAAAAGAGAGATTATCATTAAATGATGTTGAATACTGATGGATTTAGCCATGAAAGTTGCGAGATATACACAGTTATCACTGTTCATGTGAGGTTTCAGTGATGAGAATTATCCTGGGCAATCTGGCCTTGATATAAGGCTCTCCTTTTTTAGAGGAAAGGACATGTTGCTCTGCTTATGGCTGGAAATTCACCATCATTCACCCCTTGAGGCCAAGCTCAATCCATTGTTAAACTATGTATATATATATATATATATACGTATATATATATATATATATACATATATTTATATATATAAATCTGAACTTTGAACTGGTTTTATAGGTTTGTCTGAACATAGGGTACCCCATTCCATCCGCTGGTGAATCATCATATTCTCTGCCAGAACTCGGGGGTGGTTCCACCCATTTTCAGACACACCTATATCTCAGATTGCTCATTAAAATATCCAAGGATATCCACAACAAATTACAGTATCCCAGAGTAATGTATAAATAGTAAAATGCAGTAATCCCATAATTCTCCCATCAATCTCCCGGAAAAAAAAAACGGTTGGAACCGCAGGTTACACTGACCGGAAAATTAATAAACATATATGCATCATACATCATCATACACACCTGGTTAGTGGTTGTCATCCTACTAGGAATGGTGGAACAAAATCTCAAATTGCACACCAGTTCCCGTTTGTTTCCAGGTGTCTAGTCTGGTTGTTCAACTTCCTATTTATGGTTGGCTAAACCAAAAGTCAAAGAATCAACCAGTTTGGCGTATGGGTTTGTCTCAAAATGGGATACCGCTCTTGTGGCATGTTGCTAACTGGGAAAATGATTCTCTGAACCATTTTGGGATTTTGGTGGATTTGGGGTTCCAAAATTTTGAGGCAACCCCATGTATACATACCTAGTTATACCATTTTATGGCCAACAGGTGCGACCGGCTCGTACCCAGTGCCATCAAGTTACCAGGAGTCCTAGGAAGATGGTAAAGGCCAAGGTGGGAATGGTACCTGCAGCTGAATGGATGCTTGAGAAATTAAGTTTTTTTTTAGCGTGGAGGAAGCTGATGTTTGTTTAAATTGAATCAATGTCACAAAAAAAAATGTATGGTTATAGGCAGTTGTGAAAATGACTGTGTTGGTGCAGTATAGCATGAGTTTCTATTTCAAGACGTGATTCATCTAGTTAAAACACTATTTGATGTCATCTTGAAATGGAAACGTGCATGGATGTTTTTTTATTTTCGATTGCTGGGGTGCCAAGTTGGGTTACTGGACGATATAGAAAGTGATTATTTGACCAAACAACTATGTGTTGCCATATTTTGTCTCGGCAGTTGAAGCCCCAAAGGGTGTGAGATTGACCATGGTTTTTGAACAAAACTGCTTTGAACCACAATCAACTCAAAGCCTAAGATTTACAGGTTCCAGGTATATCCAGACTTGACCTATTTTGTCCATTTACATCCTATCTGGAAGGAATATATTTTGAAAAAAATACATCTGTTTCCCACACATGGGGCCAGTAGCCCTGAAAATTGTCAGATTGCTGGCAGCATTCTGACGGCTCAGAAAGGACCCAAACCTAAAGTATATAAGCATAACCTCCTCCCCCCAGTATTCAACAGCATCTAATTAAATGGTTCCAACTACCTGGATTGTCGCTAGTAAACCATGGTTTTTGATATTGGGGTGGGTGGGTTATAAGACCTGTTTGTTGGTTGAACGTGCCATAGCCACCGTTAAGCTCCACAAACATCATTGGCTGGATTTGCTGCCCAATTGGCTGTTGCCGGCTCGTCCCTACCGGGAGAATGCAAAGGAAAATCAATGAAAAATCAATGCCCGCCAGAATATGTAAATACAAATTAGATACTTTGGTAGTGTTGGACCCTTGCTACATTAACCTTCAGTACCAAGTAGTGGGGTGTAAATTACCTAAAAATATATCTCCGAGGATATTCCCCGTTGACACCATTGTCTCATCATTTTCTCACCATTTCCCCATGATCTCCCCATGGTTTCCTATACAAATCCCATACAAACCATCCACCGCAAAAACTTTCAACGCTTTACCATTCACAGACGTTCTGGCGTGGTGCGCAGCAGCAGCTTTGCAAGGCTCGGTGCTCCCTTGACGTCCGTGACCATGCTGATCCTCAATTTTTGGCGCCGTTGACCACGGTTGGGGATCTTCGTTGAACAATCGACGAACATCAACGGGTGAAGCCAGGGGCTGTCCATCGTACCTAGCTGATTCCTGGGGTTATCCATGGCTTAGAAGCCCAGTTAGCCAGTTGCCAATTGGGATCATCCTGCAAGTGATTAAACTAAACATCACCCAGGGAATATGTCATCTCCAAGCGATAGTTGCAAGGTGAAACAAATCGCCCAAAAGGGACAAACCAACCAGTCCCTGTTTGCAGAGCAGTTTACGGGAGGAAAACCATCCAGTTTTCAACTGACTATATTTGCCCATACCCATTGGTTCAAACTATCTAGAATGGTGCGCCAAAAAAAACATGCGGATAACTGGCAAAAAAAACACACAGCTATCCCAAACCGATTAGATTTAAATGGGCTTTAATCGTTATATAATTAATTACGTCCCATTCATTTAAAGCATGGATAGTAATTTGTCCAATAATATGAACTATACTGTTCATGTTGGTGAATGATCATTAGTACTTGCCAAATTCTTACAAGATGATGCCACCAAAAGCTAGCTAAGTCGGATATAGATTTATGGTTCATGGTAGATACAGTTTGGTTATTTAACGTATAGCTATGGAAAATCACAATTTTTGATGGGTAAATCATCATAAATCTGCTAAACATGGAGCATTTTCCATAGCTATGTTAAATAGCCATATCGAACTCGCTGATGGATTTCTACCAACTTAAAACTGAGGGGCCACACCTTTTATCAACATCCACCAAGCTAAAAAATCGGCAGAAAACCGCATCCAAATCCAAATTCTGCGGCCCCGTACTGTTCAAGCGCTGACTCGATGGCTGCAGCATCGAAAACATACCTTGAGATGGGAACACCGGTAATGAAACATACCTTGATATAGGAACATATATATATATATATATCCCATAGGATCATAGAGGATCCATGTATGGTATATATGCTAACATGACTGGGGTATATTGATGGTAAATGTCACCATATATAGCAAAACGTGTTGGGAAACATAGCGGTTGAACATTACAACCGCACTTGTAGTGGATATGCCACCATTGCTAGTTGCCACCATTTGGTTTCATGATTCTCCAAGCGAACTAAAACTTCCATGAAGTTCGGGGATGTCCTAGCCAGCGAGGTTTGATGACGCCAGATGGTAATACCCTCTGGTAAACAAAAATAGCTATTGAAAATGGCCATAGAAATAGTTGATTTTCCCCTTTAAAATGGTGATTTTCCATAGTGATGTAAGCGTTTACCAGGCCGGGTAATCAACAACTGAAACTGGCTGAAACAAGCTGAGACTTGCGGCCGAGATGAACCCCGTAAGTTCCATCGCAACTGGTAAATCCATTTGCTTGATATCCCCATTGATATCTCCATATTCTCCCATTATATCAGCTAATCCCATTTTGATGTTGGTTAAACATGGTTAAATCACCATTTGTCCTATGGTTTTCCTATGGCTTTCCTATGGCTTTCCTATGCTTTTCTTATGGTTTTCCTATGGCTTTCCTACGGGATATCCCCACGTTTCATGACCCTTCCATCACCGAAGATGCTGCACCAAGGCGTTCACCACCACGTAGACGGCCAGGATCACCTCTGCTGGGAGCTGGTTCAAGGCTAAAATGATGCTTGTTGTTCAAGGAAAATGGCGTATAAATGGGGATAAAACATTATATACATATGTATGTATGTATGATATATATATATATGTGATATGTAAATATATATATATATATGTGTTTAATGGAAAATCAAGGCGGTGTAAAACAGTTTTTTGAGATATATAAGCAACAGTACTAGAGATGGATCTATGGGGATCAATGGATATCGGCTATGACCTCGACGAAACGCGGGACACACTAAACGGTGGGAAATTAAGGGATTCAAGAAAAACATAGAAAAACCCTAGTTTTGTTAGTTGTGATTCAGAAGATTCATGGAACATGGAACATGATCGGAAACATGAAGGGGCTAGAACTACTGTGGCGCAGGGTTGGTATAACCATAAAATGCTTGGTATAACTATAGGGGTTTATCGTATTTATAAAGAAATATTAAAACACATAAAACAACACACATAACCGGGTGCGAGGAACCATCTTTTTTGGGGAAAATGAACCGTGAAATCTGCAGTATTTCACCATGTAACATATGGGGGATTAACCAAGAAATTGGGGATATAATATGATATAATGGGGTTCAATTCACCATAGCTACGCAAGAAAAAATGATGGGAAACCTGGTGATGTTGATTAAAGAAATATCAGTTGGGTTTACCAAAAAAAATATGGGATAACATTACCCTCTGGTAAACGTTTACATAACTGTGGAAAATCACCATGCTATTCATGGGAAAATTCACTATTTCTATGGTGATTTTCCATAGCAAAATGCTAGTCATTACCAGGGGGTAACAAGTTGCAGGAGTTCACTGGGAATGTGTGATGTCATGTGACATGCTGATTTTCATATTCCAGGCCCCGAATTCATGGCTCAACATGATGCATTCAAGTTCTATACAAAATATCCTGAATCCCATTTCACCTGAATATCAGAATCCTGAATCAATAATATTCCAGGCCCCAAAATATCCTGAATCCATGTCACCTCAAAGTTCTCGCATGAGGGAACGATCATGCATCACAACAAAGATAGCTTTGCCAAGCTCTGCCAAGACACGGAAAGAAAAAGTACCCGTCCTAGGCTGCGCCACTGACACAGTACATCACGGTAATCGGATGACCGTCCTATTCAAGGGACAAGTTGGCGAATAACTCATGTAACTATGGTCTATGATACATACATATCTATCTATATATATATATATACACACATATATATAGATATATACCTACATATATACATATGTATATATATATATATATATACAGGTGTGTATATATATATATATATATGTAGACACGAGGTGGGCCGCCTCAATTTTGAGTTGGTTTATATAAACCCATCTAACTATTACTATATATAATTAGCTATAACTATTATAAGGTGTTTTTTCATAGTTATAAAATGGTTTAAACCAACTTAGCTAGTGTTTTGGAGCTCCACCTTGTAGTTTTCTGCGGTTTCTTTAACAAACAAACCTCATAACTGGAGCCAGGTATCTCGCTAAGTTAAAGTGACCATGGCAATGAACAAGTGGTAACTAAACATTTATATATGTTTGGAATATGTGAACAACACCACACATGGCAATTCCAGATTTTTCTTGCCAAATAAAAAGCCTCACCCCTTGGAACATGCAAAACATGTGATAAAATGGTGCTTTGAACCCATGAAAAAATGACCCATCAATGTTTGTCAGGAGTGATCCCACATAGTGCTGGCTTAATTGTGCTGACAATTTGGAAAAACACATGTGATTCACAGTGAAACTGCATGTTTTTTTTCACAAGTGCAACTGTCACTTCCTCTGCTGCTTCCATCAGCAGGGTTTGGAAAATGCCAACCATTATTGGTGAAGGTGAATGTTCGTTTGTTGATAGATCTTTTGATTGCCTGATTTGACCTCAAATAGAAAAGATCGAGTATGTTTTTCCCATATTCAGAACCCAAGAATTCCTAAGGCATTTTTGCAATCCATCGATAAGTGTCATATTAGCCCAGCACTATGGTAGGGGACTGTATTAATGTGACTAAACAATGAAAGTAGACTCCGATTTTCGAGGGGAAATTGCTTAGATAGACTCTATTTACGAAAAAAACGCTTGTCTAAGTACGCATTCATATCACGTTTTCCATCCTTTTCCTTTGTTTACAGCATAAGTCCTGAATTTGAACGTACTGAATTTGAGGGAACTCATCTTAAGGAGCTCGGAAGGGACCGGTTGAATTCATCAGGGAAGTCCGGGAAGTTGGTGGGATGACTGCGAAGTGCATCATCCCATTGCGCTGTCAGGCCTCACGGCATGCCTGATAGGCTGAAAGATCAGCTGCTGGATTTGTTGTTCAGCCTGAAGTAGTGCCGCATCGCTGTGCGAGGAACCGCACCCTGCTGTGCGAAGCACACCTCATACCCCGCCATGCACCACAACTGGATGCGATGCCAAATCTGTACCTTCAAAGTTATTTGTCAACCAAATTTGTTAGCCAAGGTCCGGGTTGATTGAGAAACATGTTAGACTCTAATCCCCAACAAAAAACACAACACATAATGACATTGGACATGTATTTCTTGTGACAAGCTTCATCAGTATGCCAAGGACCAAGCCTGGCTGAGCTAGTGACAGCTAGTGGCCGTACCGGAATTTTCACAACTCAGCAGGCGGTTCTCGCGCCCAAGAGTCGTTTCATCTCGCCCTTGCTGGCCTCTTCTGCAGAAACCGCCTCCATCATGACCACGTTGGGGGGCAGCTGCGCCTGAGCACAGGCAGCTGATGAGTTTCGCCATGTTTCACCGGAACGAAGAAATCGTGGAAAACTTCATGTGGTAAACCCAAGAATAAACCATCATCCATCCCTAAAATCATTGCTAGTAATTGGCTGGTATAAACATGTACAAACCATTCCCAAATGGTTGGTTTATGGATTATGGTGTTGGGTTGCCCACATCTCTCAGCGCACGGCCGGGTCACAACATGTCACAACGCCCCGCCTGGGCACCGATTTCATTGTTCAAAAGTCGGATTTCTCGGCCTTCTGTTTCCATGGAGTCCTGGGAGCGTTCCGTGAAAGCCTGGGTTTACAAGCTGGGGCCACAGAACTTTAGTTAACTTGATTGAAATATCAATGATAATCAATGTTTAGTTCGTAGTTAGATGGCTATTTTAGTGATAATGTATAATTAGATACAATTGGTGATAATTGATAATACTATTTATTATAGATATTTGGTAGATCACTATAATTAGATGGCTTCCTAAACACACCGAAGAAAAGGGGGACTCACCTTGGAGGCATCCAGGCATCTTCCGTGACTTGGTGCTGCCGCTCAGTGATATTTATTGGTTTCAGCCCATTAAGGCACATTGACCATAGATCTCTATAGATACATCTGCCGTAAACTCTCTCTCTCTCTCTCTTTCTCGTCTCTTTCTATATTGTATCGATATATATATATGCACTATTTATACCTGTATATATATATATATATATATACAATGTTCACCAACTTTCGCTAAGGATTTAGGGACCAATTAGTTATAATTAAAAACCTGAAGTTGTCTCATGTTGAAAAAACAATTGCCTGGCAATGGATAACTATTGCTGAAAGATGCTGAAAGGTTACCAGAAGCAACAGGGATTGAGTTCCCACATATTGATTCACAATTATCCCAGGATTGTGTTGTAATCCTAAGATGAGGAACGTGTTGTAATCCAATTAATGTTATGCTTTTGTAATCATCCCCCGATTGTGCTGCAATGTCAAAACTGGAGGAGCAAATGAGTAAATATACCCTCTGGTAATTTAACATAGCTACTGAAAATTGCCTATTGAGTTCGTTGATTTACCTATTAAAGATGGTGATTTTCCATAGCTATGTTAGTTTACCAGAGGGTCGTCAAAAAATGCGATCCGCAACAAACAGGAAGGACAACATCATTGGGTTGGTGAACGATGGGAAATCTCGTTTCCGGAAACCCACGGGGTTTTCCTGTGAAAAATCTGCTTGGTTTCCTGGAGCATTTCCCTGGAAGAACCCAATGAAACACTCATAAATCGTTGAGTTTGGGGCTTCTGTGAAAGGCTATGTTTGAAGCATGCCGGCTTTCGATACGCTTGACATCCTAATGTGGAATTACCTCAGTAATGGACATATAAACTCTGGTAGTCAAATATGGCAATCGAAAATCAACTATGTATTAGTAGATGTCTTTCCTTTGAAAACCATTATATATATATATTTAAATATATTTATATATATATATGTACAACAGCGGATTTCGAATTGCACCGTTTGATTACTGGAGGGTAAACTCTTATGAAAATAGATTAATGGCCATGCCCTTTCTGTATCCTTTACTCGGGGACCTTATACATAGTGTAACTTGGTTATATTCACTATGGTTGGTTGTGTATCCAATCACGTCCCATTAGTTTGCTATATGCCACTAATCATGAGAATACCAACTAATGGGATTTACTAATGGGATATGATTGAATATGTATATGTAGATTACTAATGTATATGCCAACTAATAGAACACTAATTACCAATTGTATAATTTCTAAAGGTAGGGTAAAAAAAAACTTTTTTAATGAACACATCTCACCATACTTATATTTTTATTTAAACACATATATATATAATAACATGTTACATTTTACTATAAACCCCAGTTATCATATAGTTGTATACCTGTTAATTAATTTTCATACCTTCCACAGACCTTCCCAAGCCTCGCCTGCAGCGTTCAGTCAGGTGAACCTTTAAAAACGATGCGCTTGGGCCCAACGGCGGCGGCGGGATAGGGTAGGTTCAACATATCTCAGCTTCACTTGGTAACACAGGAAGCACACCATCCACATTTCTCCATAACTTTCCTTTTAAACGTCACAAGTTCCCATAACATCGTGGTTTGCTCGACTTATTGAAGCTTGCTTCCAGCAAGAGTTTCTGAGGCGGGTTTCGATCACTGTCTTAACATTGCTGACTTTCGATGCCTGCTGACTTTTGCCCATCCATCATCCATCCCTATATTGATAGCTATCCATCTTCCTAGTTGGCTGGCGGATGCCCGTATCTTTACAATGAATATTTTTTTCAGACACAGTACACGTCCATACCCATACATCCTTCTTGAGGTTCTTGAGGTTAAGGGACCAAAGTTTCCTTCATAGAAATGGCTAAACAAAAGTATTAGCAAGTTCTGCAAACCAAGGGCATTACTTAAACTAAGCCCTGGTGTTTTATGTATCCAGGCCTCTTTTCCAGTCATGATTTGGGCAAAACAACACTTGGATTTACTGAAGGAACTCAAGAAAAAACACGATAGCATATAAGGACTCCCCATTTCATCTCCCATTCTGGGAAAATGCCCAGTTTATCATTGACAAAACGCAAAAATCTGGTTGGTGATTTTTACCCATTCTATTCCCATTGATTCACACTATGTACATCCCATTGTTATCCCTTTGAATCATGTAAAAATCCTATGGTGAACGATGGTGAAAGCCATGCTGTGTGAATCTCCGGTATCCTCAAACAATCACGATTCTTCATGATTAAATGCCATGGATATCTCTCAAAAAATCTAACAAACAACTCCATTCACATTACCCTCCTGTAAAACTTACTATGTATGTGGAAAAAACACCTCACCATGAATGTAGATCACTGGGATTCCCATTCGCTCCCAGCCATTTTTTCCCACTCACCCAGAGAGGCGTCGCCTGGGCGATGTTTTGACTGAAGACATTTTTCCGCGAGAGGATTCAACATAAAGAACAGCTGGAGAAATATGGGAATATCATGGAAACATGCAAAATTTGTGTAGATGTAAAATGTCTGTGAAAATCATGGAATCTCATGGAAGAAATGCTGGTTTCAGAGACCAGGATTCAACGGCGACGGGACCCCCAGAGATGCCCAAATATCACCTGTGCTATGCACAAATCTGGACACACTTTTGACTCTGCAACACCTCCCTCTGGGCAAAACCCATGGCCAATCTTCAGCAAAAAAAACAATATTTATTCTACATTCCCCTCAACAATCGGCCAGAAAATCAAGGTTTACCTAAACAAAGCACCCAACGATCACATTGTGTGCTCTATGGCTCTATGTTCCATGTTACCACCATAACATCACCATAAAATGATTAGTCTTATTCATTTTTAACCCATTTTTTTTCGCACATGAACCCTCCCTTGATGAGCTGTATGTTGATGCCTGAGCCCCTGAACCGCTAAATTTCGGATGGTTAACCCTCAGTTTAGTATACCCTCTGGTGAACTAACATAGCAATGGAAAATCACCATGCTATTCATGGGAAAATCCACTATTTCTATGGCCATTTTCCATTGCTTTTTGTATGTTCACCAGAGGGTACCCATTTAATCCCAAGGTCAAAAAACAAGAGCGGGTGGCTATAGCGATGGCCCATTTTGGATGGACAACCAGGTCCTGGGGAATATTCGGATACCCCCAGCTCCGAAAAAAGCTCCCTCCGTTCACCTCTGGATAGGTCATCTCCTATTATAATTCATCCAAAATGATGTGTATATATATATATATGGTTGGTGGTTTTAACCATCTTGAAAAATATGAGTTCGTCAATGGGAAGGATGACATCCCATATATGACATGGAAAATAAGAACTGTATAAAACTGTTCCAACCCACCAGCCAGCCACTATAGTCCCCTGATATCCCGTATACCGTATCCGTATACCCATCATTCGTTAGTTGATTTTCCCAGCTATACACACGTCCGAATCGCAACGAGAAATGGCGCTATCACTTTTGGTCATTTATTACAATAGTTATAACTTGTTATACCTGGAACCTCAGATCCGGCACTTTTATCAAACCGTTGCCTTTCCCCCTGCTCCGGCGTAATTTGTGAGGCTCCGGCGTTTTGGATTTTTTCCAACGGCAATTTTCTGATTCAGCTGGGAACCGGCATGAACAAGCTGTGGCCAAAGATTTTGGTTCAATTCGCCCAATCCATCCTAGTGACTGGGTGCCTTTCCTTTCCCGAGGTGCCACCCTTCTCTGCCCTGCACTTTTTTGCACCAGCTTGCCTTGCAGATGCCTGTTTTCCAGCCGTGCCCCCAAAGCATTTGCTGGCTCTAGTAGTGATTCATATTTAGAAGTTGAGGTAGGATTTTTCAATGGCTCATGGATCTCATGGTGAGAAAAGCTCATCCAGCATTATTTGTGAAGCAGGTGGGGCCTGCATACCGAAAGGAAATGAAAGCAACTTTTGTGTTTGATCTCCACTTTGGTTTTGCCGGGGGTCTTCCGACTAGGATTGGATGATATGCCCAACAAATTTTGGAACGAAGCTCAGCTGGTTTTGTGGCCCCAGGATGACCCCCAAGAAACTTGTCAGCAAAATGCGTCAATCAAATTTGCTACAGTCTTTAAGCCTTGAAAAAATAGGGCATGGCCGACCAGTGAAGCTTTGCAGATTGTTGCATCACCTTAAGGATCTCAACACCCTTCCACTTGACCGGGTGACTGCGTTGGTGTCCAATTACCGGGATAAGGGTTACATTCACCAACTTGCCACATACCTTCGAAAGTGGGAAGCTACTTGTGCCTGGACCAAGTTGGATTTTGAAAATGCTGTCGCTAGATGTTGACACCTTTTATATTCATGTTTGGGGAGTTAATGCTATTCCATGCTATTCCCTGCTACGCCCGGCCATGCCCAGGTCAGAATCAAAGTGCTGACCACAGCCCGGCCGTCAATTCAGTGACCGCTTCAAAGCCTGAGGGGGCAGATGCGAAGTAGTTTTAAAAAGAAATTAGAGGAAGGGAAAGGACCCAGCTTTTCGAAACTGAAAACCTTTGATGGTGGACCAAGACTTGTCCGACAAAAAGAGGTACCAATGCCAATTGATCTTCATACTTTGATCGTGGGAATTGCTGGTCTTGTGTCATGATCTAGGGGCCCATATCGACAAGAACCACGCAGGTGCTCATGCTGGTGCACTTTGCTGGTGATTGACAAGGTGCTTCACGGGAATGGCTTTCAAACGTAAAGCCTTAAAGTTATTAAAAAAATGGTGCTCAAATGGTCGGTGGAGGCTTCCTGATCTTAGACTGCCCCCTTCTCCTGCTCAGTTATGATGGCCTTTAACTCTTCAGTCGGTACGTTCATTCAGGGATCAAAACAGGCTTCAACACATCTGCTCCGTCTTGAGATTTGGCTCCACCAACGTCCTCTTTCTACCAGGGGTTTTTCAACCACCTGGTCCAATGGCTGATGTGTTGCCTGAGGACCCCAACACTGAGGATTGTGAGTGTGATTTGAATGGCCTGGCAGAGGCTTGGGATAGGGACGCGGAGATTCGTCATAGCACTGCTGCCCGTAAATCCCTGCTGGCCTGGCAGCATCCGAAACAAGCCGGACGCATCAACTATGATACTTTGCAATTGAACCTCAAGGTAATTGATGTGGTGGTGGACCTTTGGTGCCCCAAACAGCAGACTGCCAAGACGGTGAGCCTTGACGACATGAAATTCCAGGCAAAGAACCCAGTAACAAAAAACATATGTATCTTATATATATATATTTATTTATATTTATATACATATATATATAATATTGTGTGGGTATGCGTGTAAAGCTACTCAAGTGTGTTTCCAACTCGAGGGATTCCATGGTTGAAATGTTTGCATTTCCACCCTTTCGCGCGCCCTGTGCAGGTGAGATCCTTTCGTGGTAAGCTGGGCCTTTCTACCCGGCCTAGTTTGGTGCATTGCGAGGCGGAAGCTATCAAGTCGTTTATCTCTCTCATTGTCCGGAGGAATGATGGACAAACCCGACGGGCTCCTAGATTTTCAATTTAGTATGCAGACGTTGAATTCTGCATTTGGACTTTCGCAGATGTGATCCCATGGTATCACTCCTTTCTTGAATTTTGAAAAAAAACCAATCTGTTTTTACTCCAATTAGTTGTAATGATTATTCCCAACCATATGTCCCTTCTTGTTTTGGTAGAATATATGGGGCTATAAGGCGTTTTTTTCTGCAGGAAAAATGGAATCAATTGAAACCGGTCTCTAGCTCGCCCAAGGAACTAGCTTTGAAAAACCTCTTCGACAAGGTTGCCCAGTTCTGGCCTCCCAAGACCAGGAGCCGGAGGAGGTCCAAGCAGGCTGCTGAGGAGGAGCCTGGCAGTGCTGAAGCTTCGGCCAGTGCTGAAGCTTCAGCCAGTGGTGAAGCTTCAGCCACGGGTGGCCAGGCTGATGATGGCCATAGTGATGGTTTTGCTGGGACATCCAAGGAATCCATAGATGATGATGGGTTCACCAATGGATCTACAACTCCGCCCCATAAGGCCGTCAATGATGAGTACTTGGCTTGGACTTTGGGTGGACAACTCCGTGACACGCCGTCCCCAGGGCCAGTATGGAAACCGGAAACCCCAATGGAAGTTCAGGAACTGACCGATCAACTGGATGGCATGAGCTTGCATGACATTGATGAGCGGATCAAAGCCCTAGAGAAACTTGTTGGTAAATAACATGTTGTATGTTTCTAGCCGCCTCTGGTGTATAACTTTTTGTTTCGAGAATTGCTTTGGATTCCAACCCACTACTCCCGTGCTTTCAGGACTCAATTGGCTGAGCGTCGGATTGCACTGGTTGGCCAGTCTATCAAAGCTACTTGGGAAAGCTCCTCAGTTTGGAATCATCTATTATTTTGTTGCTTCTAAATTGGTGTCTGTGCTCAGGTCCTCACACACGCGCACACACATACACGCCACCCGAGCCTCCTTCAGGCTCAGCTGTCACCGAGATGAACACAGTGCCTTTCGAAGCAACACAATTGGCTGGCGTGTTGGCTGGGGACGATGACTTTCCTGGAGAACCACATGTACCAGTTCATGGGCAACCCAAGCTTGCTCAGGGGGACCCCAATGGCATGGATGCTACGCCAAACAATGATGCAGACTTGGTTCCACCTACTCAGCCAGATCCACCTTCACCTGTTTCCAAAACGGGGGATGAGGTTAAGTCCGAACATGCTATGAGCCCAACCACCGTGGAGCTGATGGGCAGCAAGGTCTGGGTTGATAAACTGAAGACATGAAGGACATGAAGCCTACTGAATTTCTTTCTTCGAGTGGTCCCCACCGTGAAAAGCATCATCCTGACATAGCTTCTGACATATCTTCTGACATACCATCTGGAAGTATAGCATTTTGACCTTCTATCTGAGATTCTATCTGGCAAATACTTTGACATTCGATCTGACATTCTATCCGGCATCTATTCTGACGATCTTTCTGGCATATCTTCTGACATCCTTTCTGGCATTCTATCTGGTATATCTTTAGAGATTCTTTCTCATCGTGGCTGAGGACACTCTGATCCAGAGCTCGCGGTTGAGGTCCGATGTGGAACACTTTGATCCGGAGCTTGCGGTGGAGGTCCGGTGGGGAACACTCTGATCCGGAGCTTGCGGTGGGGAACACTGCCATTAGAGCTTGCAGTTGAAGTCCGGAGGAGGAAGGGGAAGGAAGGAAGGAAGGATGGGCAGACTGACATAAAATCTAACAATCCTCACCTGCCAGGTGGGGAAAAAACAACAGAATTGAAAGAGATGCTCCTGTGGTGGTAGCTTTAGGTTTCTGAAAACAGTTAGGTTGATTAGTTTGCCGATTTTTCCCTCAAGGACCTTGCTGAAATCTCACGCTTGGACCAGCTGAACAACAGAGACAAAACCAGGCAGAGGAGGAAACGACGTGCCACGGGAGGAGCGGATGACGGAGATGAACCCGCTGATGATGCTGAGAGAGATGAGATTGCTGCCGAGGATGCCAAACCCAGGAAGCCCCGAGCAAAGGCAAAACCGAGAGCCAAAGCCACGGCCAAAAAGGCCGCGGCCAAGGTTGTCAAAAGGCCAGCCATGGCGAAAGCCAAGGCGGCTGCGAAAGGAAAGGCCAAGAAGGCTGATGAGGTCAAGAGTGGAAGGGGTCGAAAGCCAGCTTCGGGTGTGAAGGCAACCTTCGCACGACGACCCCAGTCTTCCCGTGAACCCATGAAAACGTTTTGGCATGCCCTCCGCACGGCGTTTGAAGCGGAAGTCGAGCCCAAGGTTTTTCGCCCATCAAAGTTGGAGGACAGGGGTATGATTTTTGCGAGGGGTGCTTAGTGTTTGGTTTGGCATCCAAAAGAATCACCATGTATGAAGTTGGGTTCAAATCAGAATGTTATACAGGTCACTTATGAAGCTTCATGGGGCAAAGGGTGAAAATTCACATTGATTAGGACCCCTTTTGGAAGTATTGCCAGAGTCGATGGGACAACGCCTTGCCAGCTGGTGATCTCTCCCAGTATGCCGCTACGGCAGTGACACTGGCGCAGCAGTTTCTGAATGAGGACCATGTGAAGTGTTTCTCGGGTTGAAGCAGGGGGGCTAGGGCTGATGAGAAAACACAACATTTATTTCGTTTCCCCTAACCTGAGCATGACCATCCAGATTCCAGATTCTCCTTCTTAACAACACACCTCACATGCCTGCTTAGGCAATTTCCGCCCTGAAGCCCACGGAGCCGATCACTGAGGACAATAGAGTGGATAGGGAAGGTAGCAAATGAATCTAGGCCCAAGCAAGCTTGCAGTGGTGCAGGCGAATGCCTGCTTTTGCGGGGGGCAAGCTGTGGCGAAAGCAACGTGTTTCAGAAATAGATCCAGATCACCAGCAACACTTTTCTTTAAACAAAATCTCATGTTAACTTGGCAGCCAGGCTTGGGAGATCAATGCTCCTACTTCCCACTTTGTGTCCCAACAATGAAGCAATGAAGCAGGGAAAGCCTTGCGGGGTAACAGAAAGTCAAGCGATGCTGAAAATGAAACTTCTACCGCTGTTCAATTTCAAATAACTTTGTGTCCCAGTTTTTGGTCTCCAGCCCAACGTCTTTTGAGGGTGTCCCATCGCCGCCCGCAGATGCCAAGCCTTCTGGTGCGCAATGCCACCGCCAAAGATCCTCAAGTCTTTTTCCAAGTGGCCAGATCTATTTGGACGATCTGACATGTTTACCGCAAAGCGTGGGTGTCCCCGGTGTCCCCCTATATACCAGCAGCTGAGATTGTACCATGCCACGTTGAAACTTTACAAGCGTGGCCAATCTAAAGTCTCAAATCTAAGTGGGCGCATTTGACACTGTCGTGCTGTGCTGTGCCATGAAGCAGCACCATATCGATCTGGCTTTGCGACGATTGGTGAAATTTGCTGCGCCCAAAGAAGCTGAGCCCAATAAAAGTTGATGTTGAACCATTTCAAAGATCAGAATTTCTTTGTTCCTAAGCGCATGTTTCAGGAGCCTGTGCCCCATGTGTCCCCATATCCAAGGCCTTCGTACTCCTTGTCTTGGCATGCAGTTGGCTTCAGCTTCCACCTCCTGAGCAGGAGGTACAGGTGCTGGAGCTGTTTGCTGGACAAGCCAGGCTCACGAGATTAGCTAAGGCGTTGGGATTTGGCACTGCTGCCCATGACATAGAGTTTGATAAGGTGGCTAGTAGTGGTGGGGCTGATCGGTCAGCAATGGACATCAATGACTGTGCTGGATTTGTGTTTCTTGTCTATCTCATTGTAAGATTTTGAACGCCCACTCAAAGAGGTTAGTATTTGGGCATCAGGAAATCAGGAATCTTGTTACAATGCCACAGCTGCGCCAGGTTAATCCTCTACAGCATCTTGAACTGCCGTTGGGATGACCTATTAGCACTTGTGGGTGTGCTTTGTTCTACATGGGTGGCTGTGAATTCAGGGACTTCCCAACGGGATTTCCTGACGCCCATGGGGCACCCGGAATTTCCCAGTGTGCAGTGTGGAAACCAGATGGTATCACGGTGGGGTGTTTCAAACCCTCATATATATATATTGTTTCCCCGACCCAATATGTCTTAACTTTGATTTCAGATTGGGGATTGATCCATAGCATTGTTTCCCCAAAAGATCGCCATCATCATGATAGAAATAAGTTGATGATTTCTAATTGTTCCCTGAAGATATGCTTTGGTGGCCCTCTTCATTATCGTGGTTGGTGGGGTGCCTATTCTGGAGAATCCTCAATCAAGTCTGATTATGCATCACGATCGAATGGTGTGGCTTCTTCAACAACTATCAAGATTCAAGATCGTGGAGCCCAAGTGGCATTGGTCATCGACATTTGTAAATTTTAAGTTTCCAACTTTTGGTCAACTAAGATGGGTTTGGGCATCCCCTGTGGTTTTCATATTTCTTGGTGTTTTTCCACCCAACCAAGATGTACCGGACCGCATTTTGGATGCACCATTACGGACATCCAAACGACAAAAGAACGCGATTGTGGGCACCAAGTTACAATGTCTGCCGCTTCAACCAGGGATCCCTGACAAAGGCTGAGAAGAATGCTAAGGAAAAAGCCCCTGCTACTGCTGTGAAATATACAGATAAATCAGGTCGAGTGCGTTACAAAGGCACATCTCAGCTCAAAAAAACGCAGTTTCTTTTCTGGCTTTAGATTCTTCGGGACCACATGATTTTATGGTTGTTTCTTTGTTTTCATCAACCCCTTGACTATTGGGTGGTTTCCCTATTTTTTCCTCCATGTTCCACATCCCATCACTGACCGGCTTCAGGCTGTATCCTCCTCAATTCTGCGGACAAGTACTTCGTGTCCGCAAGGCCCTGATGAAGTCAAAGCCACGGCTCCCCAAGGTGTGTGGGCAGGGTGCAACTGAATTTTTTCAACTGAATTTTTCCCACCCGAAAAACATGATTTCCATCAACATTGTGAAACCTCCGAGGTGGACATTGAAGTCCCTTTGAAAGATTTACTCCTGAATCTACCTGAAGGTGATCGTTGGGAGGATGCGAAGTTGATGCCATGCTTAGATTACGTTTTGAAATCGAAGCTCTTGAAGGTCCCCGATGACTACAAGGATGTACTCTTCGATTTGTTTTCATTCAAAAAGCCTTGATCAAGGATGATCAACTCTGATCAACTGTGAAGCTCAATTCCAATTCGTTTCAATTCAATTAAATTAAATTCGGGCAATTTGCTGATCCAGCGACGGCCTGCTGTTGCAAAAAGTTCATTAGGGGTCCATGAAGCTTTCCGAATACATTCCAAACTGAGTTTCGTGCAGAAAATCACAAAATTACACAAAATCATGCTAAAAAGTGCCGGCGTAATTTGGCGTAATTCCGGCGTAATTTGGCGTAATTCCGGCGTAATTGCCCGTAATGGCATTTTAAAGAATTTGTATCGATCGAAACCTATGGATTTAGAGGATTTGGCTTCAGCGTCTTGCCATGAGTTCGGAAACTTTAGTCCGGGGTCATAAGATTCTTCGCCAAAGCACTATGTCCTTGGAAAAAGATCCAATGTACATGCAGCTCCTCGCTGAGAAGCAAAGACTCCAAGTGCCTTCATCCCAAAGATGGTATTCTTTCAAGGGTTTGTTTCCCAAGGACATGCTTCTTTCCATCCTGCCCATTCTTGGGTCCTCAGGGTTCTACTGGGTCACTCGGCACCGCTGGCACTTAGGCACTTCGCATTGGCCGTGGCAAAGGGGTTGGGAGGGATCCGAGTTCCAGCGCTGGCGCTCGTGCGGCCCCAGTGGTTGTTCAAGATGGCACGGATTCAATTGCCCGTTCTTCTGGTGATGGGACTCATGAATCAGAATCCAAAGATTCAAATGCCCCTTCAGCTGGTAATGGGATTAGTGGATCACAGCCCGCTACCCCACCTGATGCTCCTCATGTTGTTGGCACTGGTGATACGAAAGATGTGACTGGTCACGTATTAATTTGTTTTAAAAAGCTGTGTCAACAAAATATTACCTTCCACAAAATGAGTTGACTATCCGACTATCCAATTCAGTGGTTATAAGGCGGATATAGCATCGCCCACTCCGGTGCGCTTTGGTGGCACACCTCCTTGGTCGGCGTGTTCTGCTGAAGTTCCAACTCCTCACGCTGCCGACCCCAGGGTGAAGAAGTTGTCCAGTGTGGAAATTGTTGAAGAAACCCTGAGGGATGAAACATACCACCCTGACAACCAGCTTGGTTTGCCAGAATTCCAATCCCCTCCTTTTGGTGGTCGTGGAGATGGGGATGCAACTCCATACTATCCGCCTGGGACGGTAGATGGGGCATCTCCCAACGAACCCCCAACAAAGAGGGAATCTTTTGAAGAGAAGTCGGTGAACCATGACCGTGGACAGGGCTCCCATGAACAGTCCCAGTTGGGCATGTCAGAGAATGAAAAGTTTCCTACTCCCAACGAGATTCAGGAAGCAGGGGTTCCTACGTCCGGAGAGGCTCAGCCCCCAGCCATGTTGTCAGAAGCTGCTGCCGCAGCTCGTCTCCGACGAGTGTGCCAAGCGAACAGCAAGGGCGAGTACAAAGTGCCTATGGAAGTTGTGGCCAAGTATAAGGATGTTCACGACGGCCGTGTCGATCTCATGAAACTTTTTGAGAAGGTTGGCCACAGTCCGGACCGGGCTTCTGCCGTGTCAAATCAAAACTTAATGGTTTTCCTGTTGAAAGACTTATATTGATCCGATTGTTTGGCTATTGCTCAACGGGCTCCCATCACTGTAATGATGCAAATGGCCAATGGTAACTTTCAGTTATTGTCCTATTAGCATGGCTTCAATCACTGGCATGTACAAAGGGGTAAATAAACACTTTCCACGTTTGCCTTAGGTCATCACAATGCGGGTTTGGGTTTATCAAAATGGCACGTGTACGAAACAAGTGCCCCACCAGCCATTTTCAGGACGCATTTGTCGCCAAAGTGAAAAGGGTTTACCAGAAGATCGAAGAGTTCAGTAGGGAATCCAACTTTGAGTTCTGGTCGGAGCAAGATATGATCGATGCAAAGTGGCCAGAGACCCTCAGGCTTTGTTTGGATATTGAAATTTTCCCAACCAAATAAACTCCCTAAGAAACCAAGGGTCCAAACAGCTTGAAATCCCAGCATCCAGCTGTCCTGCAGCTCAGGCGAAAGATCAAGGGCGCAAAGAGATTCTGCGAATCCAGACCTGGGTTCACGAGGTAGGGGGCAGTCAGCACCAGTACCACCCAATGGCACCCAAAAAAAAAATCGTAAGTAAGCACATTTCCCACAGCCCTTGCAGGAAGAGCGACTACGGAGAAGGCACCTTGTACTGGGTTCTTATTTCCGAGAAGGGACAACGCAAGACCCTCGCCTTTAAGCGTTGCCAACGTGGATGAGGAAATAATTCTTTTTTTAAGTCACAAACCGTGTGGGATGGTATCATCTAGCACCGACTTGGGTGGAATCATGTCTATTCCGAAGCCTTGTCATTGGCCACACCAACCTTGCAACTTTCTAGATTGGTCATCATCCTCCGTTAGTTTTGTAGATACCCATCAATAAGGAACACCGAGCGGAACATCTTTGAGAAAGCTGTTGAAGAAGAAGTCTCGGACACTGAGATGCCAGATGTTTCCGATAAGTTTGGGCCTTTGCGTGGCGCCGCCTGTGGGCCCAAAGACAAAGGGGTTCAGGGCTGCTGGTTTCAATCTGGGCCCAGAAAGGTTTTATTTTTTCAAGCTGTTGAAGTTTCGTTACGGGAAACTCTCGGTGTTGGATGGTTGGTGTTTGATAGTTTGGGGGAATGTTTGGGTTAGCCCTAGAAAATCTAGAAATGTTCAGACCATTTATTGACAAACCCTTCAAGCACTCACTTTGGGGTAATTTCTCGACATGGTCTCAAACGATGATTGGGTCATTGCCTCGCTTAGGTGATGATGCGACCGTGGAATCTGATGAGTCTGATGAGTGCAGTGATGATGCTGACCAGCAAAAGATCTTGAAGCAAGTGAATTTCCCCCCGGAGATTGAAAGGTCAGACGTCAACCCGTCCTCCATGGTGACCAAAGTCAGCAGAGCGATTCAGAAACGTGTGTCACGTTTGGCAAGCCACATGAAAACGCTTGAGTCGATCCCCAACAAAACCGATGTTCATGCAAAGACCCTTCATCTTTGTTTGGATTTGAGCTACATGGTTCCGTGATGTGCCAACCACTGACCCATCCCACATTCCTTTGAATATTTTGGGGTTGTGAAGCGTTATAACTTTTTGGGTATGGCTTGAATTCCATGGACACCCGGAACCCTGTGCTCCAGATAGGTTTCATGTATCATGAAACCATTTTTGACTAATTTGGGGCATGGATGCCAGATTTGATTCCTGGAGAAATGGGAGAGCCCTCTTTCATTTAGATATTCAGGTTGTTGGAGAAGGTCAGCAAGGCTCACAAAGACCTCACCGCTTCGGATGAATCAATGATGGATCTTTACCAAAAGGGCTTGGTGGATGGCTTCACCAAAACGCTCCTTGCCTACGGAGAAAAACTCGTGGTAGGAACATGTTTAAAATAGCTCATGATTGTATCCACCAGCACATGTCCAACCAACCGGCGCCACAGCAAATTGCCGAGGGTCCAGAAAAAGTTCCGTGAGATCTTCCAGCAGGCTCGAACTACGTGCTCACCTCAATTAACAGCCGGCTTGAAGGAACAACGCAACGGCCTGGGGTTCCAGGGCATGGCGAAGTTAACAGGGTGCCCTCCAAGTTGATGCAAAGTTTTTGAAACCTTTCCATCAAGGATACCTAGATCCTTAAACACATCCAATTCAGCCTCCCAGCCTGAGGTGCATCGAAGCCATCTGCATGGACAGCCGTGTTACGCCAGGAAACCCAGAGATCAATCAAAGAAGGGACCGGTTCAAGTTTCTGTAGAACTTGAAACTCAAAAATGAACCAGCCACCCAATGCGACATAGATTGCTTGGAAAACACCTCACCACACTCTACTGACTTCCTAGGTGTCTTGGTGATACTTTGTAAGCGTAAATGAGTATACATGATCTTCCCCACCAACACGATCCCTGGTTTTTCCCAATGGTCTCCATCACCCGCGCCGCCCAGGCTGGCTACGAAGGATTTGAAGGCTGCCGCCAGGACTCCACACCCAGCGGGCAAGTCCAAGGCGAAGGCCAAGTCGGAGCCTAAGCAAAAGGCTGCTCCGAAAAAGCGAGCCGGAGAGGGGGAAACCTCAGCAACTCCTGGCAAACGTTCTAAATAGATGTTTTCCGAAGGCAGCTTGGGTGATATATGGAAAAAAACAGAACTGATTTTCAGATATTTTCGGTGCAAACACGGTGTTTTGATTCGGTGCTGCCTATTGTGACTCTTCACTGCCGCGTGCCGCATGCCTTTGGGAGGGGTCCACTGGCAAAAGAACGGCAAAACAAACCACAGCGTTCACGTGCGAGAAAAAACTTTGTATTTTTTGGAAAGCCACAGCTTCCACTCAGTTAGTGATTTACCTTCACTACTTGTGTGTGCCCCCGACTGAGTAAATTGTTTTTATATCTTCAGTAGTATATATATAATATGTCTGTATATATATATGTATGTATTTTTATAGCTGTATATATATATATATATATATATTTGTTTATGTGGCTATAGGGATATAATATAATATAATATAATATACTAAACTATAATATAATATACTAAACTATACTATATAAATAAATAAAATAAATAAATAAATAAATAAATATATATATATATACAGAGGAGTTAAAACCACTTATATATTCAACAGCCTTCGGTATTCCGCCGGCCCTCTGGCTGTTGGTGGGGAGGCCAAACGCAAGGGTTGTTGGCGTAGAGGCGGCTGTGTGGGCTGATGAGGAGGGTGGCTGGCTAGTGGCGGCTGGGTGGCTGCGTGGCTGGCTAGGTGGCCAAGTGGTTGGCAGTTGCTGCTGGCTGGTTGGGTGGCTGGCTAGGTGGCTGGCTGAAGTGACGGGCTAATGTACTTGACTGGCTGTGGCTGGCTGGCTAGGTGGCTGGCCAGGCTAGGTGGCTACATACATACATACATACATACCCATAAGGAGAAGGGGGGTGCCAGGGAAAGGGCAGCCAAACTAAAAATCCGTCGAAGAGGAACATTAGCCTCAGCTTAGCTGAGCAAAAGATGTACCAGAAGAACATCCACAAAACACGCCGGCAGGCCGGCGGACTAAGTGGGATACGCATCATACACATCCAAGAATTCCAACTTCCTACTTCCTACAATTACTTTTTATTGACCAAGAGGAATTGGTGGGAACCCGCTCCCTCATGCCAGGTCACAGCAATGAGGACCAGGCATCACTGCTGGTGGCACAAGCTGCAGAGGGCCTGGGCGAAGGAGTAACTCGCAGTTTCAATAGTCAACATAGCTTCTGTCTGAGTATTCCCGCCACATAATTTCGATGATACAGTATAGGTTATATAATTAATATAGATAGATACTGATCCGATGTCCTTTTCTTGGCTGCTTATACCTATAAATCACCAGCCCTAAGGCATCTGCCCACCAAACCGGGCAGCTTCTACGTGCTGCGGCAGGGTCTTCCAAGGATAGTAAGAATGATGAGCGTGACCTACATCGCAGATTTATAAAATGGGGATTGTCAATGCCTGTGAAAGTTGAAGATGTTACCCATGGTCAAGGTGGTTCCGATGCTGTTGTAACACACTGGGTGAGACCATCTTCATGGGTGAAAGAGCTGATGAGGTTGTTTCCTGGGTGCCTCACAGGAGGCTTTACTGAAACCAATGACATCGCCTTACAATTCCGAAGCTTCTGGAAGGCTTACAAGCAATTTCATCCCGGTCACAAGATTTTTTCTTCCAACCTCAATGGGTCTTTGCTGGATCGAGTTATCCCTCTGGCCCTATTTGGAGATGAGGGTCGCGGGCCAAAGCGTGGGCAGTTTTTAATCTGGAGCATTGAATCGGTTCTGGGTGTGGACGACCAACCACATGATTTCAAATGCAAATGCAGTGATGGACTAGCATCTATGCCTTTGGTTGATGCACTGGGCTGTGAGGATGCTGGTCCTACATACTTTACAAGTGCTGAGTATGAGAGGGTATGCAGGCAAACAGTCAACTACAAAAACCATTCTTACATAACGCGCCACCTACTCTTTGGATTGCCGTCTTATTTGATGAAGGCACACGCCGAAGTGGAGGAGAAGCACATTCAGTTGCTTGTTGATGATCTCAACTATTTGTTCTCTACAGGTGTGGAGATACGAGGCGAACGCTGGTATGTTTGTGTTGTTGGGTCCAAAGGAGATTTCAAACATCAGGGGAAGCTGGGAAATCTTGAACGATCGTACTACTCGATAGGTCGCACCTATGGAAACATGATGTGCTCTTTGTGTGAAGCCGGAGCTCCGGGATTCCCATTTGAAACAATTGAGCATGAACCATTATGGGTCAGGAGTTTGCATAGGGCAAGGCCTTGTTCAACACCGCCAACAATCTCTACATTGGAGTTTGATGACCTCAAACCTGAGGCCCTGCTAAAATTGGACTTATTCCATTTATGGAAAGTAGGGCTGGGAAGGGACCTGGCAGGCTCTGGGGTAATCACTTTTTGCAGAATTGGCATGTTCGATTTTCCTGGATGCTCGAAAGATTTGGATGGGAGGTTAATTTACGCACACGGGTCCTTCAAATTGTGGGCAATGGCAAACCACAGAAGTCCTGGACTACAATCGTTCAGCAAAGCCTTCTTCGTGATGAAGAGCTACGCGGACAGCCCTTGGAGTAATTCCAAGGGTGCTGATACTGTATTGCTTATCCAATGGTTACATTGGCTGGTTTCCCTTAATTTGAAAACACCAGTGGATGGATTAGATTTACAATCCTATGGCCGGATGCTTCGCCTTTTCAAGCACACTGCTGAGCAATCCTTTGGAGTCATGGAGGTGGTGTACACTCATGGCCTTTGGCTTTCGAGAACCTGTGCCAAACATCTCTACGGAAGGTTGTTTCTGCTTCTCAGGGGATACCGTTCTCTTGCAGCAGAAGCACTGAAGTTTCGCTTCAACGCATTTGGACTGAAACCCAAAATGCATGCGATAGCTCATGTGGCATTTGAGCTGCGCCAGCAGCTGCTGGCAAAAAGAAAACGGATCCTTAACCCGTTGGCCTGGGGCTGCGAGCAAAACGAGGATACAGTTGGAAGGGTCTCCAGGATTGCACGAAAAGTGTCCGTTCGAACGATTACAAAACGTGTGCTGGACAGGTACTTCCTGAAGAAACGCGCCCTCTTGAAACGCAAGTTCAGCAAGCAAAAGCGCGGGTGAAAAAAATAATTCAGGGATGTGTGATGGGAAAAGGCTTTACCCATTGACCCACATGCAGGAATAGCTGAGTTCCAAACTCTTGCCATTGCCATGCGCCATCTCCCAAACACGGTCGCTAATCCTGGCCCCTTTGTTTGGTGATGAGAATTTCTCATGTTTCATTGGTGTCATTCAGATTTACATCATGCTGCACCAAAGGCAGGTCCTCAATTAGCTGAACAGCCAAACATAGCGAATGGATCCTGACAAAGAGGGAAATCATTACTTAGTCAGTCTGATTGACGGCGTTTTCCTTGAGCAACGGCAATTATTTTTCACGACGGCTTTTTTACCAGGAGACGGCAAAAATTTCAGCCGGAATGGAAACCGGCACTTATTTCAGCCGTCAGGTGGATATAGGTATATCATAGTACTTACAACTGGTTATAAATGGGATTAATTGCAGTATACATTCTGCATCTGGTGTCATAAGTACTTAAAAGTGGTATTTTGGGCCATACATCTGTAACTGATGTAGGGTGTGTCGGATGGGAGTTCGCCAAGACACAGAAGAGACTTGGCAGGCGACGAGGCCAGGCCGAGCTTCAGCACCTCCGGCGGCATGCCGAAGCGGATCCTGCAGCATCCCGCGGCATGCCGTGGCTGGAAAGATCTGCAGTGATGGCCCGGGCCAATAGCAGTTATCATTGGCATTTTCCCAACGGAACATCCACCATTTGTGGAATCTGTTGATTATTTTTTTGGGAAATACAGTTATGGCCCTTCACCAGTTATTAAGTACTAACAAAACGCCATTTATGGAATGTATAATCCCATCGAATCACCAGTTATAACGCTTATAGCCATGGCCATACATTATTGGTGACTCAACCCAACAACAAACATGTTTGCAAACGTGGTGATTTAACCAAGAAAATCAACATGTTTGTCGTTGGTTTATGATATCAAACTTGCTTGCAAGCACTATGAAAACTTGTGTTTATATTTACAACAATGGTTGGATGGGATTAGTGTAAACATAACAAACATAACTGGGGCCCCACCTCGTGCCTTGTAGTTATCGTTTATATTAAACATATGATGTTCATAGATACTTAGACCATCCTAAATTGATGGTCATAAGTGCTCTATAGTCCTGGGCCAACCCATTTAGAAATGGGCTAAGGAGTGGTCTAGTGCCCGTAGTACTTTTTGAATGGCCCAAGTCCCGCCATCCAAAAAAACGTGTCAGCACCTGCCGTAGTACTACATGAACCTGTCTAGGTAGTTAAAGTCCAAAGCCTGCATCAATTTAAGATATTATATGGCAATTTAACATACTGGTTGGTGGTTTTAACCATCTTGAAAAATATGAGTTCGTCAATGGGAAGGATGACATCCCATATACTATGGAAAATAAAACATGTTTGAAACCACCAACCAGCATAGCTAATGTTCGATTGCTATTTATAGTTGATTTACCGATTAAGCGATGGGATTTTCCATAGCTTACCAAAAGGTAATTTAACCATATCTGGTTGAGTCAGAAAAATAGTTTATCACTTGATTGATGTAATTATGTATATATATTATATAACCATGTCTGGTTTAACTTCATTTCACATCTTGATTTTACCTAAGATTTAATATAATTCTAAGTGAGTTGTGAAATTGCACTAACGTGATTTTGTTGGGCCATTTGGGGATGATTCCCCTTGCTGACCATTATTCCAGGGAGGTCACAGTGAGGTCATCCTCAGATTCCCGCAACCTGAAGCCATGCTCACACTGGCGCTTGGCTTCTTCGGCCGCATCCTGTGATCCAAGAAACATAGCTGGGATCCCTGGTAGATATAGCTATAGTTAATGAGATGTATCATCTTTATTAACTTTATGTTAGTTGAATACATGAAAACAACAATATAACTTAAAATAGCTGGGGATATATGGGATATAATCATATATATAATCAATGTTTAACGCAATTCATATAGTTTCAGTGGAAACATGGGCTCCCCATCAGATTTGCCCCAAAAATCTGCCCAAATGTGGGATCACCACCGACAAATGACTCACTGGCCCTCAGTGAAATGTTTGTTTGTTTATAATCCCCAATATATATATATATACAAACATATATATCTATATAAATATATGCATTTCTCTCTCTCTCTCTCTCTCCCTCCATCGCCGTCCCGGAGGGTCAGCGTTAGGATGAGGGCTATATATATAATTATATAGACGTATTAATAATACATATAATGAAATCTGTGTTTTGCTCCTCTATATGTATGTATATATATATATATACAGTGGGCCCAGGTGGCTCCTTGACATCTTTTCTTCACCAAGTTCAAAGCCCAAGTCTCAAACCAAGCAGAGCACCTTTTCCACCAAGCTCGACGGTCTTCATCATATCTATGGCATTTGTAGCAATGGAATAAAACACGAAAAAAAACAATATGATATCAGAAGGATATACTTGATATAATGGAAATATCATGAGATTCTCCATCAAATAAACCATCATCCAATTCCGGAGATTTTCTCTGCAACAAGGCGGTTAGATCCAAATGTGAGGATGGGTATACACATTGAAATGGTCACTGATAAGAATTGCACCATTGTGACCATTGTATAGTTTATTGGGTCTTGAAGAAACAAAGGGAAAAGACAATTGACTTACCTTGAATTTAGATCATGTTTGTAGTAGAGGATTAAAACTTAGAAGGGGGTTACATGTTTCCAAACAGAAGTTAGAATGGGGGGGCATGAACATCTTAGAATGCCTCATTCTATTTTTAATGAAAACCGTGTAAAAACATCTATATATATATTTATACAGATATAAATATACACGAAAAACACACTTTCTTGACAAGACTAACATGATGCGACAGGCATGCTAAGTTTACATGCCAAAACGTTCAAAACACATATATATATATACATACACACACGTAAACCTCCATTTCTGATTCTGTGAGGAAAAACAACTAATATAATATAAAAATGTATGTATATAAGTATACTCTGATGCCTGGTCGGGTGGTATAAGAATAAAGCTGACAATGTGGCAGCTCCATCCACATCCCCACCCCAAAACGGATACTCCTTTTCCCCTAGAGGGCCTGTGTGAACAGATTCGTTTCTGAAAGCTTTGCATAGCACTTGCCACCTCTTTTTCCCGCATTACCTTGCGATAAGGAACAACTTAGAATGCTTGCCCTATACAAAGCAAACACCTTATATCACTGCATCAAGGCATGTTACATTTGTCCACTTTGTATTGTTTTTAAGGGTGCCGCCGTGCTGCCCACAAAAAGGATGGGCTAGAGCTAAACTTAGAATGATTACGCAGCAGATTGTGCCAAGGGATACTTTGCCGAGCCACCACATCTCCGCGCAAAGCTGCAGGAAAGCAGTTTCAATAGACGGTTCCTGTTTGCGTAATAGGAAAGCCGTCTTTTGCACGCTGGAATCGGAGATTCAGGTGCTAAGCTTTGGAACGGAAATTTAAAGCAAATTTGGGAACAATGAAGGAGCCGCAACGCCAGTAAAAAGAAGGAACCCCAAACCCAGCTGAACAGATTCGTTTCTCAAAGTTTTCCTTCCAAAAGAGAGGGGCGAGAGCTAAACTTAGAATGCTTCCTTGAGTTTCAGAACGCTTTCTGTACTGAACAAACCTTTTCCCATCAAAACTTCAAATGCCAGTTACGTCGCAAACTTGGAAAGAATTGAAGGACAAACCTAGCCATGCCTTGCGAATACAAGCAGGAATCCAAGCCCCAGGTGTTGACACAATCAAGTTTGGGAAACACAGAAAGCTGCTTTATTTTATTGGAGGTAGACCTGAACTGGCCAATGGGTCCACTGGAAATAACCGCTTGCCACAGGCAAATTATCCCATGGGGTTCATGCACATATGGTTGCACATTCTAAGTTTGCCAGATTGATTGAGACTCCAGACTACACAAGGGTAATCAAATATGATAAATCCAATCGATGTCTTTAACGACATTCTAACTCTAGTATGCAGATCTATGAAGTATAAATAGATTTGCCTCTGTTCCCATCGACATTATGTATATAAGCTTTATATCATATATCATATATATATATATATACGTTCTAAGTTTACAACATTTGGGTTCCAAACCACGCAAAAGTGATCAAATATGATAAATCCAATCGGTGCCTTGGCGGCACTCTAACTCTAGTATCCAGATCTATTGAATATACATTATCTTTTACGTGGACTACGCGGGCTACGCGGACGTTCCGTAATGATGTTTTGCAACTTCCAAAACGAAGTTCTAAGTTTCAATATGTTTTAATCCTACACTATTGTCTGTTTTGAAGTTTTCGGCATCTTTTGCTGCCTTTTTTTGCGGTGGGTGATATAGTGATCATACCCAGCTCACTCTACATCTCCGGCGGTGCCAGAATGTGCCATGTGACCTTGGCACATGCGCTACTGGTTTAGGCTGGTGGGGTATCCCATGATTCCCCTTTGAACGGGTTCATCACTTTTTCAGGTATCACTTGGGCAAAGCCAATTGGGATACAAATCCTACAACTATGGTGAACTATGACTGCACGATAACAGCCCTGTACCTGTGATTTTCATGGTAATGGGGTTATCATTCCACAAATGGGTGACTTTCTGACTTATATCTGGTAAAGGGCCCTAACTGCACAATTCCAAACCACTAAGCAAAACCAAGACTTCACCATTGGTTGAGTTTAACAACGTTGAGGATTGTTGAGGATCTAATGAAAACACGTATATGCATGATAATTTAGAAAGCCAGTCATAACATAAGTGTTTATGATCGTTTATGTAGTGGGCGAATCATAATCACCAACAACCACAACGATAAGGATCTCCAATAAGGCATAGAAACCTACCCAACTGCAAGCAACCATGGCAGGGGAACATCACCCATGCATGCCCATTCATAGATGACATTCCAAGAGAAACACACCTCATTTTTGCTTGACCCTAGGCCCTAAACTCA